CGATGTAAAGGTAGACCGTATACTGGGAAAGTCTGCAGGATCCAGGTATTGATTGTTGATGCAATGTACAAATACATGCACATTTTTTTTTTACCTGCAAAAAGATATGCATTTTTTTCTCACCAAGTTGATTTTATCCTTTAATGAATGGAAAGGAAAAATGTTTCCCATTGGTGGCAGTTGGGCAGCAGGCTGCCATTAGAATGTGTAGTTAGTTTCTTATTAGGGAACGTCAGGCCTTAGATGGGATAATCCAGTAAGTACATTAACAGGTATAGGGAGTATGTCTTTGTTGCTTAATATAAATATTTATTACTTTGGACAATTGGTCAATTACCTGTCTCCAGACTGGAGTCAATTTCAAGCAAAACCAGATGTGTGGTAAAGAACCATTGAGTGGCGCTTTGCTAAAAACCTGTCTATCAATAGATATAGTTAAATAGCGAGTAGTGATGTAGTGCCATCCAGAATGTGGTTTTGTGTGCATTTTCTTTATTTACTGTACATCAGGGGTAGGCAACCTTAAAAAGGTGGAGATCTACCTGAAAAACATGGGAAAAGTCAAAGCTCACTGGGCACAGTGTCGCCTTTTTATACCTAAATGTAAACATAAACGAGCGCTTTTCAGTCCTGGGTATAAGCAGCTAGCATAAGGAAACCTCTAAAACCCTTAAACATAAATATATATAAAAAAATGCAGCGCTTAAATAAATATAATAAAATATAAAATGTGAGTGTGACAGAAAGCGCAAGTTGATGTGCTAATATGTGACAGTGATAGTGTCTTAATAAAGACAAAATTTATATATTGACGTGACAGTATTATGCACAATATATCACATAAATGCAAATGACATGAGTCCATTTAATGGGTTGCAAGTGCGTCAGTGATTCAGATAGGAAGATATCGGTCATTGGCCAATCACATAGGCAGGAAGTGAGATTTTGGAAGGCGGTCAGTGTACAGAGGGCCTCCAAGCTGCCATCTTGCAAGGCAAAGATTATTATTTTTTTTTTCCTGACGGTTTTGAAAAATAACAGGAGCTGCCGTTCCAATTAAAAAGAGGACCTCTCCTTCAAGAGCCCCCACTTCATCGATGACATCCTCCTGTAAAGACATTACCCTCTTGGTAATGACACATGTTCCCCCACCAGCCTCACAAGGTGGATTTCATTTGGATGCTGTACTTACCTGATGCTGAGCGTTAGCTTCACCTGTGAGCGGTTCCTATTAAATAAGAGGGTCCAATAAAAGGTCCGGAGAATATCCCTGGATGTTTTTGAGTGTGGTTTGAATACCACATCTCCACCGGGTTCCAGAAGGCCATCAGTACCCTTATACTACATGCGTATTTATTTATTTTAGGTACTTATATTATGATTTACGTCTGGTGAGTGTAAGCACACCCTATATTGCTTTTCACGGAAGTCACGAGCACCTGATTATGTGATGGACGTTTTATAGGATTGATCGATCTCTTCCTATCTGAATCACTGACGCACTTGCAACCCATTAAATGGACTCATGTCATTTGCATCTATGTGATATATTGTGCATAATACTGTCACGTCAATTTATAAATTTTGTCTTTATTAAGACACTATCACTGTCATATTAGCGCATCAACTTGCGCTTTCTGTCACACTCACATTTTATTATATTTTATTATTTTTATTATATTTATTTAAGTGCTGCATTTTTTTATACCTTTTTACACCTGATTTAAATTCTTTAATTGCCATAGTACAGTGTTGCAATCACGTGCATTGCACGGCAATCATGGGTTTAAATCCAGTGGTGAGGAGGCAACAGATCACCTCCTCACCACCTGTCAAACATATTCTGGTTGCTTTTCAGAGGAGCAGTGGTGCCTGCTGCACTTGTGAATGAGCCCTTAGTTGCAATCGGCAGCGGAACCCTAAGGACTTGTTTATATGTAAAGTGTGGGGGGGGGGGGGGGGGGGTAAAACCCTGCGGTTGATTCACCACAGTGCATCAGTGTGAAAGCAGCACTATACTATTACATATTGTATTGCTTCACACTGACCTGAAGATCTCTTCTTTCCTGCTGCTGACACCACTCTGGAGACTGCTAGCCAGGATAAGAGGAGGAGTGCAGTTGGTATCACTCCGCATGGGACAGGAGCCGGCACTACAGAGGAGGTATCGGCTTATGCAGCTCTTGCTCCCTTCTACAGCCCCAACTTTACAAGTAGTCTCTCTGCATTGCATTTTGTTTGATGCTGTGGCCACGATCTACCAGTAGACTGCAGTCTACTGGCTGCTGACCCCAGCTGTACATATAGAGCTTTTATTGTATTCCATATTTTTTCCACACTTCTAGTGGTAGTTCACATCCCAGCACAGTTTCTCTCAGCTTTTCATATGGGGGAATGTTTACAGGGATCTGGATGAATGATGGTGTGTAGTATATTGGAGATCAGACCTTTAGCTTAATGACCTTCTCTACAAATTCCTTCGAATGAGGTAAGATTTGGAGTGTGTGTCAGTATCATGACAAACCTGAAGGTGGCTGTAGGAGGGTTTAGGGAGCTTTTATTTGTCCTGGATCTCAGCAAATGACAATAATCTTTTGTGCTAGATGACCAAGTTGAAATACAGACTGTTTGCCATCACCATGACATTTTGGAGGAGAGGCTATCTAGGATCAGTGGCATGTATAGAAATAGGACATAAGGAACTAGATGTAATGAGATTGTGTTTAGCTTTGCATCCAGATATTCATTGTGAACATTTACAAAAGTAGGTGGTGGTATAAAGTAAGGGGGAGCTCTACAGAATGAAATTGGGGTGTGAGAGGGCAACCCATACTTTTTTGGTTTCAGTCCACTTGTTGAAAGAGGGGAGAGTTTACCAAGTGGAAACATGTCAAAGATGCGATTTTTGTTAAGTTTTTTTTTCTTTTTTTTTTTGCGTTTTTTGATAGTGGTGAAGAGCTTAGAATCTGTTAGAGCTTTTGTTTTGTATTAGGGCTACTGGATTGAAAAAAGAGAAGTTCTAAAATTTTGAGCCACCAGAAGAGAAATTAGAAGGTAAATCTCATGGGAAATTTTGACATTTGCTCCAGAAACAGCAGTCTGGATACATGCCATACATGGCTTGAATTTCACCCAGTTCCTGTTGAATCGGCCAACATTTAAACCTTGGGTGGCCCTCTTGGCACCACCTGGCCTAAACAAAAAGTCAATTTAACCACTTGCCCTCCTGAGGATTTACCCCCCTTTCTGACCAGGCCATTTTTGTGTTACGGCGCTGCGTTACTTTAACTGACAATTGTGCGGTCATGCAACGTTCATGTATGTTCATTTTTTCCCACAAATTGAGCTTTCTTTCGGTGGTATTTGATTGCCTGAGCGGTTTTTTTTTTTTTTTTTTTTTAAAGCAATTTTAAGGAAAAAAACTATATTTTTGCTATTAAACATGTCCAGTAAAAAATTAAATCAAATTTCATCATAAATTTAGGCCAAAATCTATTCTGCTTCATGTCTTTGCTAAAAAAAAAAAATCCCAATACGTGTAAATTAATTGGTTTACGTGAAAGTTATAGTGTTTACAAATGGCGGCATAGATACTGGATTTTTCTTTATTTTAAATATTTACTAGTAATGGCAGCGATCAGCGACTTATAGCGGGACTGCGGCGGACATTCTGACAGTGGGGGGGGGGGGGGGGGGAACTGTGTTACTGACATCCCCAGTGACACCAATACCATGATCAGTGCTAAAGAAAAAACTGACACACTACTAATGGCACTGGGCAGGTAGGGGTTAACATGAAGGGCGATCAAAGGGTTAACTTGTGCAGGGAGTGTTTTACTAGGGGGCCGTGTCAGTGTGCTTCACTGTAATCACACTGCTCTGGATGGCTGTGCTGTGCACAGCCATCCAAAGCAGTGTGCCCGAGTTGACGGGGAGGAGAACTGTTAGTAAACAAAACAGTCCTCCTCCGCATCAGAGATTTCGGAAATCACGGGGCGCCGGCGAGTAATTAACGTTCAGGACCTGGTGATTGGCAGCCGCGAATGGCGGTGCGGGTAGGGCGTGCACACAGCTCGTGTGCGCCCCCTACCCGGAAATACAAAATAACGTGTGTATATATATGATTTTGCGCACCTGTGCCGCCCTGTAGCAATATTTTTGTTATAGGGCAGTTGGGAAACTGTAAAAAATAACTGAGCCTAGTGCAGAATTATCGGCCCAACTGTGACTGCATCTTGTCAGATCATTAAAATATATATCCTTTAAAAAGAAGTTCTTGATTTTCAGGCAAGAGACTGTACCTAGGCTGAGAGGGTGCGGTCTAGGAGTGTTGCATACAAGAGGAAGATTTGCCTCTTCCCCCAGTGATTTGCCTCTTTCCCCCAGTGAGCAAGCATCTAAACCCGGACACACATGGATTGAAGTTCGGCTGGTTCAACAGGGACCGGCTGAATTTCAATCCATCTCTGGGCAGGGAACTTGATCTACCAATAGACTTTTTGTACAACCGCCCTGTTTGGAGTTTACATGTTCTATCCGCTCTGCTGGCTACAGCCGGCAGGGCCAATCAGTGTATACTGATGGCAGGGAAGGTTCCCCACTGTCAGAATACAATAGCTCAGCAGGAAGATTTCTCCATCCACATCTAGTATGTGGATGGGGGAATGGAGTATGTTTGTTTTTGTTTGTTCAGCCTGCTGTTTGAATGAGAAACTGGCTCATCTATGGGCTACCTTAGTCCAAAAGTAGATACTGATCCTGGATGATTCCTGAACAAAGATCACACTGGACTTTTAGAGGAAAATATACTGCAGGTATTGTCAGGAGAATGCTGTGACTTCTTTAAGAGTTTGCATGTTACTGTTTATCCTACATAGAATGCACATACATTTAAATAAAAATGATACATCTGGTATTAGATTTACCATAATGCTGATTGCCCTTCCGAGCTTTATTTACATAGTCATTATTACTGAAAAGCATTTTATTTTTATTTTTAGGTTGCACAGAGCATTGAAGATCATCATCAAGAAGTCATCAGTTTCTGCCGTGAAAATGGATTCCATGGTCTGGTTGCCTACGACTCAGACTATGCGCTGTGCAATATCCCGTATTACTTCAGTGCTCACGCACTCAAACTGAGCCGCAATGGAAAAAGCATCACAACCAGCCAGTACCTAATGCACGAGGTGGCTAAACAGCTGGATCTCAATCCCAACCGCTTCCCCATTTTCGCTGCTCTTCTAGGTAATCATGATGTTTTCACTTATTACCCAAGCATAGCCTGCATTGAGGTGGGTCTAGAGGTACCATGTAATTGTATGTATGTGGACATTGTCCCATAAAATCTACTTTGAAATGAAACCGCTGTCTTCCACAAAAATGTCTCGTGTGATGCAGAACACAAATGCTCATGTACACTGGCCCTTAGATTGTTGAAGAAACAATCTGTGCTCACTACAGAGCAGGCAAGGCTGAGGTGGTGATAGATGAGGGAGGGGGTTAGGTGCATTGGTGATGTGGTGACCTTGGTGGGGGGGGGGGTATGTGTACAGCTGTGTTGGTGACAGCAGGAGAGGTGTGTGTTTCAGTATGAAGATGTAGCGGTGACAGAGGGGAAGGTTGGATATACAGGTGAGGTTAGGAGAGCAGGGAAGATGAGAGGTTCATCGTGGTGCTGTGGGGTTAGGTGTGCTGGTGTCTTGGGAAGAGATTGGGTTAAATGTCCAGATGTGGGGGAGTGAGAGCGCAGAAAGTGTGGGGTCAGCTCAGCAGTTCTGGTGGTGCAAGTGGAAGAGGGGTGGGATTAGGTGGTGGTGGTGGGGGGGGGGGGGGGGAGTGAGGTTAGGGGTTAGGATGTGGCAATAAGAGCTGAGGATGGGTGGAGTTGGAAGTGCAGGTATAATGGCGAAGAATGGTGGATGCAGGAGGAGTGGTATAGTGAAAGGGTTGTGCAGCTGCAATAATAAGGCTTGGCCATACATTATACAATTTTCTTGAGAATTTTGCTTTAGATTTACCAAAAACTATATAATATGAGATCAAACCGAAACAACACTTTTCAATTGTATCCAATTAGGCAGGCCCTTGCACTACACAGTTGAAGGTAAATCTAAAGGAAATTGGACAGACAATTGTAAAATGTATGGCCAGCCTATAGGAAGTTCCTGTAGCAAAATGTTGACAGTGAAGAGACAAATGGCAGTTTCCATGCAGTGAGGCTACACCATTGCCTCAGCACTGCCCCAGCTCTTCCTGGAAGCAGCTACTAGACCAGGCGGTAGGTTGTAGACACTGGTCACATGATCATTTGATCTGGTCACATGATCATTTACCAGCGCTGGCTTCATTGTAGAGGAGAGAGATCTGACAACAGATGCCCCATAGTAAGCTTATGGGTGATGTCACCACATCTGCAGCCGTTGTCGGTGATCTCTCCTCTTTACTGAAGCCGGCTGCTGGAGAGATCATGTGACTGGACTGCCCTGAGGATAGGCAAGTACAGTACATATGCATCTTTTCCTTTACAGGGTAGATAATTAAGGCTTAGAATGGGGGTCGGAGCAGGTTTAGTTGTACTTAGGATTTGACTGAATGTCTACTTTAAAGGATAAGTTCACCTTAGGGCACACTATACATGTTCCACCCATTTTTAGGGTAGAACATGTAACATGTTCCCACCGCTGCCCAATCCTCCCCCTCCCTGTGACAGTAGTACAAGGAGAAGTTCACCACACTAGCTGCCACTTTTTGAAAACAGCATGGGTGCGTGGGCTTCGCCCACACGGTCGCATCATTCATTCACAGAGTTCTGTGAATGAATGAACTACAAGTCCCAACAGGCTTTGCGGCACTGGTAGTTCATTGAGCCTTCTTGTCAGACTGTATCTACTTGCCTGTATGGGATGTATAGCACGCTGATACGCTGACAGTTTGCAGGAGTCCTGCATGGCACCAGCCACCTGCTGATGGCTGGTGCAATGATTTCCAGGCTCCAAAAAGTAGTAAATGCACAGTTTTTTACCTGCAAAAAAAGGGTTTTTTTTGTGGTTTTTTTTGTGAACTTCTTTAAGGAATGTGGATGAAATTATGAAACATTTTTTTGACTGTTTAAATTCAGATTCTTCTTTTCCAGTTTAACCTGGGCTGGCGAAAGGAGAGTTTGTTTGATACAGGCAGAATAAAAAAAATTTTTTTTTTTAAATACTTTATTTTATTGTCCAAAAACAGTAGTTTATGATGGTATTTGATTTAGTTCTCCAAGGCAGCATAAATAGTGGTAAAATGAATATCTGACATCAGGGGCGGACTGACCATTCGAGCACTCGGGCACTGCCCGAGGGCCTGGGGTCAGTAGGGGGCCCCATAAAATGCCCCTGGTACCTTTTTTATAGGCTTTTTGGGTGTGTTTGAGTGTGGGCAAAGACACAGGGACCCCATGATCTCCAGTTGCCTGGGGGCCCCATGAGTTTTCAATCTCCTGTCTGACATCAATTTACTGTAATGTGTAACCTGATTAAATAAATGCAGCTTTGTGAAAACAAACCTGTTTTAAAGTGATTGTAAAGGTTAATCATTTTTTTAAAAATAACAAACAAGCTATACTTACCTGCTCTGTGTAATAGTTTTGCACAGAGCAGCCCCAATCCTCCTCTTCTCGGGTCCCTTGCCGACACTCCTGGATTACCCCCCCCCAGTCAAGTGCTCCTTACTTGCTCTGGGGGCACTCGTGTGTGCTTGCTCCCAAGCTGCCTCTGTGTGTCCATAAGTACCTGGTCACACCGGTGGGATTTCAGGTGCAGTTTGGGAATTGAAATCGCACCTAGTGAATGACAGTGTCTTAACATGCATGATTTCTAAAATAGTTCTTGCATTACTTTTTCTGCAGTTTTGTTGCGGTTTCAGATACATAGAATATAATAGAAATCGCACTGCAAACTGCAAGAAACCATTGAAAATCTTTACAAGTAGCAATAAAGTCTTCAGAAATCACAGCGGTTTGACCGGTGACCAAGACTCACAGAGCCCGGCTTGAACCCACCTTCCCCTCCCTCCTCACTGGCTGTGATTGACAGCAGCAGGGGCCGATGGCTGCTGTCTCTAAGCCAATAAGATGTGAGAGAGACAAGAGCGCTTCGCTGGATTGGGCTCAGGTGAGTATGGGGGGGAGAGCTGCTGGGTAAGCTGCACTCGGAAAGGTTTCTTTTTTTTCACCTTCATGTATAGAATGCATAAAGGTAAAAAAAAAAAACCTTGCCTTTACCACCACTTTAACCACATCCATCTTGTCCGAACACTTTCACCCCCTTCCTGTCCAGGCTAATTTTCAGCTTTCAGCATTATCACACTTTGAATGACAATTGCGTGGTCATGCAACACTGTACCAATATGAATTTTTTAGCATTTTTTGAGACAGATAAAGCTTTATTTTAGTGGTATTTTATTCACCCCTGGGATTTTTATTTTTTTTGCTATTTAAATGAAAAAGTCCAAAAATTTTGAAAAAAAAGTGTTTTTTTTGTTTTTTTTTATATTTGTTTTCTTTTTTTTTTGTTTACATACTGTCACCCTAGCAGTACAGTGTCACCATGGTGACACTGTACTACTTGTGGGGTGTGATGAAGATTTTTTTTTTTTTTCAACTGATTGCTTTTATACCCATAAAGGCTGTAAAAGCAATCATTTCTCCTTCTCTCTGGCTGCATTCTTACAGCCATTGAGAACTACTAAGTGAGCTGTGATTGGTCACAGCTTGTTACATGGTACAAGGCTGTTGTGAATAGCCTTGTACCATGTGACCTCTGTGATCATTCACAGATTTCACACGTAGTAAGCAATGATATCACAAGTGACATCTTGCTTACTACTCTGCATATGATCACTGATTGGCCAATCAGTGATCACATGATCAGGACCTCACACAGAGGTCCCGTCTGACGATCGGTGGAGGACACAGCGGGCACCGTATCGCGGTGCTGGACGCTACAAGGGAGCGCGCACACAAATAGAAAATGCGGGTGCCGTTTATGAACGGCAACCCGCCCCTAGAGTGACACCGCCCTGCCGTTTAAAAACAGTAGGCGGACGGCAAGTGGTTAAAGCAAATTTACTTTAGCGAAGTATGAGGGCTTATATACTGCAGTTGTTTTTTTATTTTTTTAATTGTTACTATAGCCGTGAATTGCTTGTATTGTATATAGATAGAAGCCCAGAAGTATAACTGAATAGATGTACAAACACCTACCACACAATAGAATCACTATTCTACATCGACAAACATGGGAATGAGAAACATCCTACTGAGATTACTTTGCTTTATTGCATTCTAATATATGCAATACTTTTATGACCTTGACTGATGAACTGACTGAAAGCATCAGCCATAGAAAGCAGTGCTACTTAATACTTAGTTGTAGCAGAGTTATTGTTCGTAATAATGTAAAGCTTTCTATGGTATGAAGGGAGACGGCGAAATCGCTGTGAATGCCGTGTAACCAAGGAACGGTATCTTAAGAGATTCCAGGGTGCCGAATGTTCTTTTATTTGAAAGGAATAGTTTTTGAATGATATGGAAACCTTTTTTTTTTCTAGGGTATTGACCATAATCTAAAAACGGTGGTTGAAAAATGTGGCACTTAGCTTCCTGTTTTGAGTAATTGGAGAGCGGGGAGAGAGAGCGAGTCTGTGAACTGATCATAACAGCTCCGCATTGAGAGGCCTGTTCTGTTGTCAAGGTTACAGAATCCTTTAGTGGGGCATCAGGTGCTAATCTCCGATGGAGGCGGCCAAGCTCGTTCTGTTGGCTTAGCCAGAAGTGCCTCTTTGTTCCCAACACTGTGTAATTTGCCTCTGATGGAGTAGCAATAGCTGAAGTTTTTCTAACCAGCTATAGGGAAAGGAGTACGTTGTAGGTGTACGTTTATTCAAAGTTGCGTGACTTTTCGGCAATACATTTGTAAAACTATAAACGAGGTAATATGTACTTTGTAGAGTTCCCTGGCTTTAGCCTGTGCAAATTATTATATATAAATGTCCTCAGTGTAAACATTTTTTTTTTTTTTACTTTTAGGCCAGTGGGGAACAAGAAACTTTTCCTAATACACATCTACACATACAGTAGATGATGGTTTTCTTTCCTTCCACCACGGGTGGAGGGAAAGAAAATCGTTTGATTCTCCCATCACTACAGTCAGTGTTGATGGGGTAATTCCTCCCGCAGTGCTGTTGTGTTCTGCTGCCAGGGAGCCTTCCCAACCAGCAGTAACACAATGATTACTGCTAGCGGCTATAGCTGCTGGCATTAATTGCACGTTAAAAAATATGACAGGCTGGTTGTACCCAGGTCAATCGATGAATCGACTAGGGTACAACCAGGCTGCCCATGGAGGGAATCGAATCTTGGCTGGTCACTGCTAAACCGGCCTGATATTTGATCCATCTATGGCCAGATTTAGAATTGTTCCTTACGATCCCACAACCTGATTGTTTTGCTGGAGATGGGAGACCAAAGCCAAGAACACGGGTACTGAAATTTGGCTGATTCACCAGCTTCTGTTGGTATGGTTGTGCTGGAAAACCAGCATTCAATTAGCACATGCAACCAATGGCTGCAGCACTGATCTGCATATTCCGACTGGGAAGGGGGGTAAGGGGGAGGGTAACTGAGGGAGGAGATTCCAGCATCTATATTCCTTACGTGATAGATACCTCTTTGGGCACAAAATGTCTAAAACATGGATCCATTTTTATCATCACTGGTTTGCATTTCCAAGAGGTCCAGGATTAATTGGATTTTCTGCATACAATGGCCAGTTTCTTTAGCCCTACCTAGTCTAGATACTCACATGGGGGGGTAAAGCAGCATGCAAAAGCTCTGGCTTTAAAGCAGAAAGTTCCTGAAGTTTGACTGCATATTGTGCATTGCACGTCTTGTATCATCCAGGGTGCTCAAAAACATAGGAGCTGCAGCCTGACTACTTCAGGTGCCCGGTTTTAATAACTTATTTCAGCTTGCATTCTTTTATACCTGCTACAGGTTCTCTTTAAGTGGATTATCCATTTAACTGTTAGGGCTCATGTACACTGCAGCTGATTAAACTCACGTTTAGGAGCTGTTCAGCATTTTTTTCAGCATTCCCTGAACTCGCCCTAATGTTTTCCTATGTGTCCATGTACACATCTTCGTTTACAGGCATTTGAGTTTACAGTCGTTTTTTTGAAAGCAGAAAACTTGTGTTCAGCAGTCTGTTATCAACGTTTCAAATGCAAAATGCTTGTAAACGCGGTTTTAAAAGTGGCAAATTGCGTTTATAAGCGTTTGAATTTTTTTTTTTTAACTCTTCCAGTTTCTAATGCTGTCCAGAGCCTTTTTTCATCATGAAAAATGCATGCAAAGAGTTTTCAAGGTACTCAAATGGACAAAACACTGAACACAGGATGTTCCTACCAAGCTTGTCACACATTGGAATGACCAATTCACACCTCAGACCTCTCCCACCCTTAGAAACAAAAGATCTGTTAGTGACCATTCACACCTCAAATTCCTCATGAAGACCCCCTGCCAGGAGACCTTAATGACTCACTCCAGGAGACACCTTTCCCACCCTTGGAAACAGAAATGTTAATGAGCAACTCACACCTAAGCTAATCTCATTATGTACTGCTGTCTCTGCTTCTACTCTCTGTATTTCTCTGAAACAGTCTGAAATAGTTAATAATTTACCACTTTTCAGTCCATTCTGGTCATTTGGGAGGTTCTCCTGTGCTTATCTTTAACCACTTGCCCTCCTGAGTATTTCCCCCCCTTAATGACCAGGCCTCTTTTTGCTACTCGGCGCTGCACTAATTCAACTGATAATTGCGCGGTCATGCAATGCTGCTTCCAAACTAAATTTACGTCCTTTTTTCACACAAATAGAGCTTTCTTTCGGTGGTATTTGATCACCTGTGCACTTTTTATTTTTCACGCTATAAACAAAAAAAGACCTAAATATTTTAAGAAAAACTAAATTTGTTACTTTCAGCTATAAAAAATATATAGTAAACTCAAAGTTAGTTATAAATTTAGGCCAAAATGTATTCTGCTACATGTTTTTGGTAAAAAAAAAATCCCAAAAAGTGTATATTGATTGCTTTGTGTGAAAGTTAAAGCGTCTACAAACTATGGTATAAATACTGCAATTTACGCCATTTTTTTGCTATAGAGCGCTGTGCTAGTTTAACGGACAATTGCGCGGTCATGCAATACAGTACATAAATGAAATTTACATCCTTTTTTTCCCCCACAATTGATTGAGCTTTCTTTCGGCTGTGCGTTTATTTTTTTGCGCTATAAAAAAAAAGGCTGACAATTTTGAGGAAAAAAAAACTATATTTTGGACTTTTTGCTATAAAACATGTCCAGTAAAAAAAAATGTAAAAATCAAATTTGGTCCTAAATTTCTGCCAAAATGCATTCTGCGACATCTTTGCTACAAAAAACCCCAATACGTGTAAATTAATTGGTTTACGTGAAAGGTATAGCGTTTACAAATGGCGGGAAAGATACTGGGATTTTTAATTTTTTCTTTTATACTAATAATGGCGGCAATCAGCGATTTATGGCGGAACTGACTTGGGGTCACTGACATCTCCAGTGACATCAATACAGTGATCAGTGCAAAAAAAACAAACAAAAAAAAAACACTGACACTGTACTAATGGCACTGGGGAGGAAGGGGTTAACTTTATTATTCAGTGAAAGGGTTAACGGTGTGTGAGGGGAGTGTTTTACTAGGGGGCGGGGGTGTGTACTGCAGGGAACACCGCTGATCAGGACAGATAAACTCTTCTGTCCCCATCAGCGTGTCAGGAGCTGTCAGGGAACTGACAGCACAGCTACTGCAGCTGTGCTCTCTGTCACTGATTGCCGGGACATAGCCGGTAACGACCGGCTGTGACCCGGCGACTGACATCCACGTCCGTGATCGGCGGGACAGGTAGGGCGGCGGCGCGCCTCGCGCGCGCCCCCTACCTGTTTTAAAAACACACGTTTTAAAATGTGATTTTGCCCTGTCGTGCCACCCTGCCGCCGTATTTCTACAGTGGCTGGGCGGCATGTGGTTAAAAATGCTTCTAAACGCAAACATACATAAATGTGGTATGCAAATGTGTAAAAAACTGACTTTTTTGTTACCTGTTACTGGACATGTTCTGAAATCTACCTGTGGACATACCACAAGTAGTAGCATTGTTTATTGTAGTGACACTGGATAAGGTGTTTTATTGTGGCAGAGGTCACGTTTTAAGTGCTGACACCTGTACATTCTCTACTTGGATAAGATTGAATGCAATCCAACATGCATATTGCTTTGTTCTGGCTTTGAAAGAAAGATTAAAAGTAAATGCAAAAATCACTGATTCTACAAAAAGTAAATGCAAAAGTGGTATTTGACATTTCAGTGCCTTTACCATTGTTCTAGTAAATCCTTTAAAGTTTGTACATTGTACACAGGTTTGAAGTCTTCTCTAAAATGCATGTATGTCATTTAGGTAACCACATCCTACCTGATGAAGATTTAGCTGCTTTCCATTGGAGTTTACTTGGACCAGATCATCCATTAGCTTCATTAAAAGTACGTGAATAACCTGTGATTTAATCTATGTGCTTCCTCTGATGTGTATAGTGTTATCACCAACATTAAATGTATTTTCTGTAGGGTTTCCTACCACACTCCAAAGACATGCTGGTAGGTTAACCACCTTAATATCTTAATACCTAACACTTTTACCTCCTTCCTGCCCTGACCAATTTTTAGCTTTCAGTGCTGTCACACTTTTTGAAATGACAATTATTCAGTCATGTTTATGCAGCACTGCAACCAGAATACCCAATATTTGGAAAAAACAGGTTTTTTTTATTTTTAAAAAAATGTTGCAAATCTTTCGTCATAAATGTAGGCCAAAATTTATTCTGCTACATTTTCTTCAAATCCAAATAATTGTATATTTTTTAATGTGAAAGTTAGAGCCTGCAAACATTTGTGTATGCTTTTGAAAATTGATCAGTCCCGATATACTAAAATGTTGCTAAATAAACGAAAAAAAGATCGAAAATTGTGAGAAAAAAAACACATTTTTCTTTTTCTGTTATAAAATTTAGCAAATAAATAATTCAGGTCAAAATGTATTTTGCTACATTTCTTTGGTGAAAATAACCCAAATCAGTGTTTATTATTTACTCTAAAAATTGATCAGTCCTGATGTACTGACGGCCTATCTCATTTCTTGAGGCCTTAAATTGCCAAGGCTGTACAAATACCCCCAGTTGACCCCTTTTTTTGGAAAATACACAGTCCAAGGTATTAAGAGGCATGGTGAGGTTTTTTATTTCTAAAGTTGTAACTTTTTTTATCACAATATTTTTGAAATGAATAAAAAAAAATTTTTCTTTACCCCACAATTTTTTTTTTTTTTAAATAATGCCACCAGAGCAACACAGCATCATATGACTGGTGTGGCGGTGATCAGGGACACTGACTGGGGAGAGAACATTTTTTTTTTTATTTTTTAAACTTTTTTTTTTTTAAAATATTTTTACATACTGTGACCAGAGAAGTGCAGTGTTACATAGTGACAATGTACTATGGGGAATTAATCCTGTTTTTTTTTTTTTTCTTTAACAGTTTTGATCACTGTTAAAAGCAGTCATGTTATGACTAGCAACCATTCATTCACAGTGTGTACCATCTTGATAGCTGTGATTGGTCACAGATATCACATAGTATAGATGTGCTGTGATTGGCCCTGTCTGTACCATGTGATCTCTGTGACCAATCACAGAGATCACAATAGTACACAATGAATGGCCATGACTGAAAGCCATTCATTGTGTACAACTGTCATGTGATCAAGGTGATTGGTCACAGCGATCAAGTGGTACTGGCCCAGTGCAGTGCTATGTCATTCTATGGACAGCTGTCATGTGATTGGTCACAGTGATCACATAGTAGTGGGGATGGCCAAGTACAATGATTTGTCATCTGCTGTGTCCGATGGACACAGTAAGTGACTGCGATGTCGTGTCCATGAGTGGGATGATATCTACTCAGGATGGGAGAACTCCCGCTAGACCATCATTCTGCTAAAGGCCAGACGGTAAGCAGTTAATTGATTTCTGCCTAAATTAGCCCTGGTATGTGTGTACAAACTGGTTATGCGCTTGTTATGCTAGTCCCTAGCTTCTGAAGTTGAGGAAAGCCCAGGCAACCTACTATGCAAAATTTGCCAAGAAATAAAAAAACAAAAATGCTTCAAGCTTGCCAGACATGATGCCCAGAGTGTCGGATACAATTGTACAAATACATATATACAAGAGATTACTCTCTGACTATGAGCTGAGCTCAGGATTTCTGTGCAGAATGGCTTTCAGGTTGGAAAACATTAGGGTTAGTATGTTTGTTTGTTTTTTTTAATTATAAAACATATGTTGTAATATACACTGCTCCAAAAAAAATTAAAGGAACACTTTGAAAACACATAAGATCTCAGTGGGGAAAAATATGCTGGATATCTGTAATGATTTGGACTGGGTAATGTGTTAGGAATGTAACATCCCCCATCGTTTGATGGAAATGTAAATGATCGACCTACAGAGGACTGAATTCAAAGACCTGAAAATCAAAGTGAAAAAAATGATGCAGCAGGCTAGTCTATTTTGCTGAAATTTCATTGCAGCAGCTCAAAATGGTACTCAGTAGTTTGTATGGCCTGCACATGCTGGTATGCATGCCTGGCAATGATGGGGCATATTCCTAATGAGAGACGACGGATGGTGTCCTGGGGTATTTGCTCCCAGATCTGGACCAGGGAATTGCTGCGCTCCTGGACCGAAACATATCCCAGAGGTGTTCTATTGGATTTAGGTCAGGCGAGCGTGGGGGCCATTCAATGGTACCAATTGCTTCATCCTCCAGAAACTCTTGCCACATGAGGCCGGGCATTGTCACGCACCAGGAGGAACCCAGGACCCAGTGCACCAACAGTCTGACAATGGGTCCAAGGATTTCATCCCAATACCTAATGGTAGTCAGGGTGCCATTTTCTATCCTGTAGAGGTCTGTGCGTCCCTCCATGGATATGCCTCCCCAGACCATCACTGACCCACCACCAAAACGGTCATGCTGAACGATGTTACAGGCAACATAACATTCTCCACGGCTTCTCCAGTCCCTTTCACGTCTGTCACATGTGCTCAGGGTGAACCTGCTCTAATCTGTGAAATGCACAGGGCGCCAATGGCGGACCTAACAATTCTGGTGTTCAATGGCAAATGCCAATCAAGCTCTATGGTGCCAGGCAGTGAGCACAGGGCCCACTAGAGGATGTCAGGCCCTCAGGCCACCCTCCTGAAGTCTTTCTGATTGGTCAGAGACATTCACACCAGTGGCCTGCTGGAGGGGGCTCCGGCAGTGTTCATCCTGTTCCTCCTTGCACATAGGAGCAGATACCGGTCCTGCTGATGGGTTAAGGACCTTCTATTGCCCTGTCCAGCTATCCCGAGTAACTGCATGTCTCCTGGAATCTCCTCCATGCTTTTGAGACTGTGCTGGGAGACGATGCAAATCTTCTGGCAATGGCACGTATTGATGTGCCATCCTGGAGGAGTTGAACTGCCTGTGCAACCTTTGTAGGGTCCAGGTATCGCCTCATGCTACCAGTAGTAACACGAACCCTAGACAATTGCAAAACTAGTGCAAAACAGTCAGAAAAGATGAGTAGGGAAAAAATGTCAGTGAACTCCACCTGTAAAACATTCCTTTTTTGGGGTCGTCTCATTGTTGCCCATCTAGTGCACCTGTTAATTTCATTAACACCAAAGTAGCTGAATCTGATTAACAATCCCCTCTGCTACTTACCTGACCAGATCAATATCCCAGGAGTTTAATTTATTTGATACTAGAATCTGATTTAAAAAGTTTTCTTTTAATTTCTTTGAGCAGTGTATTTATAGGCAGAACACAGGATCTGTTAAGCCAAGGTTTATTGGACAAAATAACAGTCGGCTAATGTACCTGCAGCTGCGGATCATGTTAGTTTTATCGCCAAAATATGTGTCCGATACTATAGGTTTCCCAGTTAGCCCATTGATGTGTGTTTTCAAACCAACATTAGAATATCTAACAGTTCTAAAGGGTCTAACTCAGAGGTAGGCAACCTTTTGAACATAGTGTGCCGAACATTTCCATCAAAGAAACTGTGAGTACCAGCTACATAAAATGACACCTTCTCACACTTGGTCACGAAAAGAAATGTTTTATAAAGTAAGTGTTGTAAACGACCAATTCCTGCACATTCAACCTCTAAAATCAGCCAGATTCCTTCACACCTCAGATCAGCCCCAATTTGTGTCCATTCCCACCTCAGTTCACCACAGTTCCTGCACCTTTACATCTCGGATCACCCCAATTCCTGCACAATCACCACAATTCCTGCACCTTCACCCTTCAGATCACCCCAATTCCTGCACATTCACCCCTCAGGCCAGCCCCAATTCCTGTACATTCACCCCTCAGGCCAGCCCCAATTCCTGTACATTCACCCCTCAGACCAGCCCCAATTCCTGCACCTTCACACCTCAAATCGGCCACAATTCCTGCATCTTCACACGTCCAATCACCCCAGTTCCTGAACATTCACCTCTCAGATTAGCCCCAATTCCTGCACATTCACCCCTCAATTCACCCCAATTCCTGCACCTGCTCACCTCCAGTTTACCCCATTTCCTGCACTTTCTCACCGCAAATCAGCCACAATTCCTGCGCCTTCATTCCTCAGATCAGCCCAATTCCTGCACATTCACCCCTCAGATTGCCCCAATCCTGCACATTCACCCCTCAGATTGCCCCAATTCCTGCACCTTCACACCTCAAATCAGCCACAATTCCTGCCCCATCAAAACTCAGATCACCTCATTTCCTCCACCTTCACAACTCAGATCAGCCCAATTCCTGCACCTTCACAACTTAGATCAGCCCCATTCCCTGCCACATCACACGTCAATTCAGCCACAATTCCTTCATCTTCACACTTCAGATCACCCCAATTCCTTCACCCCTCAGATCACCCCAATTCCTTCACCCCTCACAATCACCCCAATTCCTGCACCTTCACATCTCGGATCAACCCAGTTCTTCCACCTTCACATCTCGGATCAACCCAGTTCTTCCACCTTCACCCCTCAGATTACCCCAATTCCTGCACCTTCATCCTTTAGATTATCTCCAATTCCTGCACCTTCACATGTCAGATTAGCCCCAATTCCATTACCTTCATACCTCAGATCACCCCTCAGCACATTCACCCCTCAGATTGCCCCAATTCCTGAACCTTCACACCTCAAATTGGCCACAATTCTTTCCCCATCACAACTCGGATCACCCCAATTCCTTTACCTTCACAACTCGGGTCACCTCAATTTTTCCACCTGCACCTTCACATCTCGGATCAGCCCAATTCCTGCACCTTCACCCCTCTGATCAGTCCCAATTCCTGCACCTCTAAATTAGCAGTTCCCAATAGCTGGTTAAATACCAGTGCAAAATGAGAGCAGGCAGCTCAAGGCGTCTGACTCAGCACCAGGACCAGATCTAGCCTGCCTGATGTGAGGGTGCAGTAAAAAATATTGGGAGATGGAGGATGGGAAGTGAGCAGGGCAGACTATAGGGTCAGCAGTTTGTAGGACAGTGTAGAGAGGCCAGCAGGGCAGAGAATTGGGTTCAGCAAAGCAGAGGACAGGAAACTGTAGGGTGGAGAACAGGGTTCAGCAGGGTGGTCAGCTGGAGTTAGCAGGGCAAAAGACAGGGGTCATGTAGGGCGGAGGACAAGAGGCCAGCAGGGCAGTTTACACAGGTCTGCAGGGAAGTGTACAAGGGTTAGCAGTGCAAAGGATGGGGTCAGCAGGGCAGTTTACAAGGGTCAGCAGGGTCACCTGGGTGAAAGACGGGTCAGCATGGCAGAGGATTGGCCAGCAGGGCATACGATGGGGTGATCCGGGGAAAGAGGACAGGGTCAGCAAGGTAGAGGACAGGGGGGCAGTGGGGCAGAGTATTGGGTCAATGAGACATAGGACAGGGTCAGAGTGGCAGAGGACAAGGTCAGCAAGGAAGAGGACAGGGATCTGCAGGGTCATGGTTGGGGTCAGCAGGACATAGGACAGTCGTAAGTGGGTTAGAGGATGGGTTCAGCTGGACATAGGATGGGGCCAACAGGGCATTGGATAGGGGTCAGTGGGACAGAGGACAGGGGTCTGCAGGGTCGAGGATGGGATCAGTGGGACAGAGGATGAGGTCAAAGAGGCTTAGGATGGGGGTCAACGGATGGGGACAGCAGGGCAGAGGGTGAAGTCAGCAAGGGCGTAGGTTAGCATCAGCGGAGCATGGGACGGTGTCAGCAGGGCAAAGGAGGGTTACCAGGGCAGAGAATAGGGTAACTGCTGGCAGGGACACTCATCAGAGGTGTTCCTCCCCATACTGCACACAGGTAAAGTTGGATTCTTTTACAGACACAACCCCAATCTTCCCAGTGTGGTGTTGGCTGTTGCAGCAGTGTAGCCATTCCGATCTCACAGGTCAGAGCTCCAACAGCCAGCAACACAAAGTGAAGATTCAGGTTTTGTCTGTAAAAGAATCCAACTTTACCTGTGTGCCGTGTGGGGACTCAAGGAGAAGCATGTCCTTTGATGAGTTCAGTCTGAGGTTGGGGGGGGGGAGCTCACCAAGCGGGGTACAGCATCCATTGGGGGAGCGCAATTCACCACCCACTGCATCCAGTCATCCTCAATACAGTTTTGCCAGCTGCAGGCCAGCCGAGCGAGGTGGGTGGGAATAGAGGAAGCAGGGAATTGAAGTGACAAAGAGCCGGCCATGCTCACTTCTATGTAGCGAGTGGAAGGCACTGGCAGGCTTTGCTGAAGTGAAAGAGGTGTCCTAGGCTTCCCTTGTGTGCCATCATATATGTGGTGGCGTGGCACGTCTGGCACGCGTGCCGGGGGTTGCCGATCCTTCGTCTAACTCCTAAACATTTGGTATCCAAATGCAAGTGCAGAAGTGAACAAAAGTTTCCATTAGTACTATTTATTGTGGCTAGACTCCCAATGACACTGCAACTGGTGGGGGGTTTCTACAGTTAAAGCTGTTCAGCCATGTCGTTAAGGGTCATTATTTACAGATTCCTCTTTCACCTTCTTAGGTTCGCGCTCACCAGCTTGTTTTACCTCCATGTGATGTTGTGATTAAAGCGGTCGCAGACTATGTGCGCAACATTAAAGATACAGATGATTTGGATGCAATTTCTTCAGATGTTTTTCAGCATTCACAGGTAATTAAAATAGGACAATGGATAGTAACTCCAGCATTTATTGTACAGTCTCTCCCACAAGTGTATGATTGTTATATGTACAGAAACAACAATTTTTTTTTTTTTTTTAAGAAAAATGTGCAGTTCCTTTGAAATATTAAGCACTATGCTAGGAGAGCTGCTCAGATTTGTTCTTAGTACCCAAGATACTTTACAGATCATGAACCTCTTGCATAGAGTTCCACCCACTGGCTGAGAGTAAATGTGAAATACTTGGGACAGAGTAGTATTTCTGAAGCACAATTGTGCATTTACTTAAACAATACAGGGGTGTGGAAATTTTTTAAAAAACTACTTGTCCAAGGACTAAATCTGTGCCCCAATCTACTTGTCCCTCATGACTATCTACTTCTGATAAAAAAAAAAAAAAAAAAGTTTTTAGCCCAAACCATATTTAAATCTGAGGTGCTTTAAGTAATGTCTGGGGCTTTCAAAATCAAAATGGGCTTTATGGAGACTTAAATGTTTTAATATTTTTAACATTGTGCTGTTTATCCCCTCCCCCTCTCTGCCTGTCTCCAGCACCGCACCCATAGACTAGCAGGGAGGGGAGAGAGACCTTGCAGTGTGATGAGCACTTGTCAGGAAAGGGGAGTGTCGGGCTTATCCTTTATCCCTTTTCCTGTCAGAGCCAGTTTTGCGTTTTTTGCACATGTTTAAAAAATCATTTAAGACCTGCAGATTACAGAAACCCCCCAAACATGATCTATTTTCTGCAATCAGAGACCCTAGAGAATAAAATAGTGGTAATTCCAATTTTTTTATGTAACACGGTATTATCACAAAGGTCTAGAAAATGTAAAATTTCAATAAACAATACACTTAAGTTAATTTTAGGGCACAAAAAGCAATAAATTATCCAATGTTTAAAATATAAAAGATGAGGTTGCCCCTTTTATAGGTCATCAGTATAGTGTTATGGAGGGGGTCTCGTGCTAAAATTATTGCTCTCATTTTGGAGTGCATGGCGATATGTAGCGTGTGCTTTTATGTTTGTACGTACGTACGTATATGTAGGGTGGTGGGGGAGGGGGGAGTTATATGCTTGGGTACAACTTTTTAAGTAAAAAAAAAAAATATATATTTTTTTTTTTTCATCACATAGGGGACAAAAAGTCCCCTATGTGATGATTTTTTTGGTGCCAGGTTTTCTTTGAGACATCCAATGTCTAAAAAACCCTGCATGTCTTCCCTTTACTACACTAAATGTAATGCAGTGCACATCGCACTGTATCACATTTTTTCCTGGCCTCGATGTCCGGGAATCTGTCAACAGGGACCCGGAAGTGACGTCACATTACTTCTGGGTCAGGACAAGAAGGGGAGTTGATGCGTCCGCTCCTCTCCCTGCCCTATACCTGCCGGCATTTACTGAACATGTCCCGGGCCCACAGATGGGCAAGCGGGGCCCGGGACATATAGCAGGTGGTGGGGGGCGGAGGCTGGCACCATAGTGGGCTTGTGTGGAATCAAACGGGCGGCAGCACTGCCGCCCGTATGCTTCCACCTGACAGGTGGGCCGTGCTGCTTGCCCGCAGCAGGGCTAAAGGTAAAAAAAAAAAAAAATTCCTGCCTGGCGCCTGGAACTACATGTCCCGGGAGTTGGGCGATATGAACTGAACATCCCTGCAATAAGATGCATTGATAGTGCAGGGAAATAGCCATTTTTTTTTTGTTTGTTTTTTTTTTTTTTAATTAATTCATCCCAGTGCCAATGTATCATCTGCTTCCAGGGGCTGCAGACAAAACTGCTGCTATTAGTGAGTTTCTCTGCAGTGGTCTGACATCCTATAGCTCTATAATGTATCCCATTTATATTGAGACTAAATTTTATTTATATTGCTTATAATGGTAAAGTAAAAATATAGTAAAAAAATATACAAAGAAAGCACAAACTAGGGAATAAGAACTGTTCAGTCATTACAGGCAACATAAACACTCCTCCTGTTTTTCTCATTTTCCCTCTATATGGGCATCTTATGAGATATATGGATCTAGATAGTGTGTGTAGTTAATGTGGTTAGTTGATGTTGTAGGAAAGGAATCACGACTATGGGAACTGATGGGGAGAATGTGACTGTTATGTGTTGGCATGAAGTCCATAAAACATGCAAGCTTTTGGAATGAAAAGGAAGAGCTCGAAGTGCTGTAGAATAATAATTTGTTCTTCAGTCCAGAACAGATGACAAAGTTTCCCGGTTCAAGAGAGCTGTTGCTTACTACAGAGCCACCAACAAGCCCCTGCCATACCAACTATCTCCATACCCTGGTTAGTGTAATGTCTAAATGTATCTAAAAATGCATTCATAAATGTTGTTAATTGCTTAAAGCAGAACTCCGGGCAAAAACTTCTTTACATGTCCATGTTGCTGATTTTCTACCTTTACTGAATGTCATCCACCTTCTGGTTCACTCAGTAGTTGCTCTGAAATAGCCTATTTGTTTTCATGTCAAACCATTATTTCCTTTTAGTTTCCTGTTTGTAAGACTGGCTCTGCCTCCTATTCCCCCAGCCATTGATCTTGGCACATCCCTTATGTAGTTCTTTCTCCAGGAAGCAGGGATGTAAACCTGCATTGGTGGGCAGACCGAGACTCTCAGACACATTCAACATGTACAGGCCTAGTGTACCTGCCCTCATTCACTACAATTACCTGTGGTTGATGGGAACTGTAGTTTCCTTTTACTGCAGAGAGAGGAGAGGATATAATTCTCAGCAGAGCTGATTCAGTTATCTTTGGAATTACAGAGATGAGGTCATGAAAATTCAATTAGACTTTTCTCCTAAATGGTAAAGATTTTCAAAATTGTATTAACTGTTTAGTGTTTTGTGTAGGGGGTGTGTACTAATGGGTGATTTTTTTTTTGCCTATCCCGGAGTTCTTCTTTAAGATCTGGTCCCTATGGCTCACACTTGTAGGGCTTTTCGTTTTCCTTTGTATTGTCAAATCTTTGTGATGGTTCAAAGGTCATGTGAGAAATTAATTCTTGTTGGTTCAGTGCTTTATGCTGAAAAACCTGCATCCTTTGTCACTGTAAGATGGTGATCACAAGCATTTATTGGACGAGCACTGAACAATCATCCAGCACTTAGCAGCAGTATTTGTGCTGATAACTATTCAGAACAGAACAACAAAACGTCTTACTGAGAGAGATGCTGGGGCTGCCATAGGTCACCTCTTTAGAACACTAGGTGCCAGTCTTCCTCTGGCCTCACTACTTTGAGTCAGTGACCCAGAACAGACATGTGGATAAGCAAGTCTGATCTCCATATTTTGTCTACTTGTTTCAGTTATTGACTATTGAAGCTACTGAAGCCACTGAATCAGCATTGCAGTCAGTAGTTTCAGAAGTGGAGGTCAGCAGTGGCCCCTTTCATGTCCTATCAGTGATTACTGACTTTAATGTATTCTGTTTTTCTAAATAAAAGCTGAATTATCATCCTTAGGGCTCGTGCACACTTGACTTTATTTCTAACTCTTGCCAAACGCCCCTATAGCGTTTGACAGGCGTTTGGGAAGCGTTTTTACCGCTCCCCAAACGCCTTATGCGTGGTTTTGAGGCGGTTGATAGGCGGTTGCCAAGCATTAAAAAACCGCACCACAAACACCTATAATGACGTTAAATGGTATTAACGCTCTGCAACCGCATCGCAAACGCCTGCCAGGCATTTGAGGAGCGGCACCATAGACTTGAATGGGGAGGCATCAACTCCTCCTGACTCGACAAGAGGCGTCCGTTTTGCCGCGACGCTAACGCTTCAGTGTGAACAGCACTGTGTGCTGCCATGTGCAGAATTTTCATAGGCGTTTGAGAAGTGTTAAAAAATGCTTCCGAAACGCCTTGTCTGATGCCTGCTGACAAAAAGTAGTGTGAACTGAGCCTTACTACAGACAAGCATAACGCAGTAATGGGTAGACGTTACTTGCAAGAATACCATATTTATTTCCAGAGAGCTGAACTCCAGGTAAACAGCTCATTACAGAAGTGAAAAATGCAGTCTGTTTGTTTTATCTTCCGAAAAAGGAAGGAATGCACTGCTAGGCCCTGGAGCTCCCTGCAGAATGCACTGCAGTTCAGCAGTACTGCTGCTGCCTGTGATTGGACAATGCAGGATCAGCAGTGTTTAGGGGTAATCTTTGTGCATTGTCCTCCACTAGTCATGTTTACATTTTGTCTGAAAGCATTGTACAATAATGCAGTTGTCATTGTCTCAAAGTGCTGCTGGTCCCTCTCCCATCTAGTGCTGGTGTGTCAGGGATTAAAAGAAGCTGATACAAAGTTAACGTAGGATAATGATACAATTTGGATGTAAGACCATTTAAAATACAAAAACCATCAGTCCTGTTGACCACCATCAGTGGACCAGAAAGTGATTAGATATGCCAGTATTTGGTATCTGTGTGCTTGATTTTCATTATTAATGGAGTATGTCTTCTTATGAGCAGGCAGACCAAATCAAAACCGAGTTCACGGTATGATGCAGGGCAACCCATCTCAGATGACTCCTCTGCCTTCTCTACAATCAAAGCCTATGGTAAGTATTATATCTGTTTTATCCTTCCTTATCAGGGACATTATGTGGACGCTAGTTCATGAGATGCTCACAAAACTGCACTGCTAGTGTGATTTTGTTTATTCAGAACTGCTGCAGACCAAATTCATGTTTGTCTGCACAACCTTTATTTAAGCATTTTCTCTTTACCAATTGATCCTGTTTTCACTCCAAGCTTTGAATATCTAAGAGATAGTGGTACCGATTATTGCAGGAATAGGCTATTGTGCTACAATAAACACATTTTTGTCTGTGTTTTTGCTACCTTGCTGGTTGGTACCTGATCTTTTCTGCAATCCTTCCCCAAAACTTACATCCTACCCCACATTTCCCCAATATATTCAAAATATCCACAATGCAAAGTCCACGATGCAAATAACAAAAGTCCACCACGAGTCCACACTCATATAAAATCTTCAAGCGTTAAGAATTATCCCATTCCTCACTTCAAATCCAGGAAACCTCAAATAAAATAAACTAAATATAGTGCATTAACTTTTACCAACAATCAAATATTGTGATGCCATGCAAGGGATCCCTTGAGAAAAGGTTGGAAGTGACGAAACACGCCAGGTCATGACGTCAGATGCAAAACCGGAAGGAGGAGCGCGGCCATCTTTGATGCTGGTTTGATGGTTATGCTGGAACAGGATGGTCTTTCGTTTCTCTGATGTAAGCAGCAATAAAAATTTCATTGTATTACTTATACATCCCGCTGAATCTTGCTCTTTCTTACCCTGTGAGGATCGGGGAACAATGCTTTGAGTTATTTGAAAGGAGAAAGCTGCTGTACCCTGGAGTATTTAAATGCTTATAAGAGATGAAAGAGGGTAATAGTTTTTTATCCTACCAGAGTGGTGGCACTTATTTAGTTTTGCGGATTATACATATTCACAAGTTGAGCACTTGCTGTGTATTTTATTGAAGTGTTGGCACTTTTTACACAAGTTTGGTTATTTTGTAGTGGATTCACCTCACGAGTGGGTTGTGTAGGTGTATTCACCCTAATTTTATTTACATAATTTTACACATGAGATTCACTAAAAGTAGTAATTTAAATTTTTTTTTTTTTTTTTTCACAAGTGATTTTTGCATGGTATCACAATTTTTGATTGTTGGTAAAAGTTAATGCACTATATTTAGTTTATTTTATTTGAGGTTTCCTGGATTTGAAGTGAGGAATGGGATAATTCTTAACGCTTGAAGATTTTATGAGTGTGGACTCGTGGTGGACTTTTGTTATTTGCATCGTGGACTTTGCATTGTGGATATTTTGAATATATTGGGGAAATGTGGGGTAGGATGTAAGTTTTGGGGAAGGATTACAGAAAAGGTTTATTATGTTTGCACTTTCAAGGGTGAAAGTTTTACTTTTCTTTGGGGATTTACAGATATTTTGATTTTACCTGATCTTGTCCCAGCATTTTTTTTAGTTTTGACTTTTTTAGAAACCCACTGACAGTTTATGATTTACTATTAAGCATCTTCTCTGTTCCCCTACAGGCTCCTCACTTGTCTGGCCATAGTGGTGCTATTGGTAAAGGTCCATATCCATACAACCTCTCTGAATCCACTGCCACTGTCAGTCCTACAAATAAGAGTGTTTCCGAACAGAATAACTACAGTAACATTCCTCATGATGGCAAACACACCCCACTGTACGAGCGCTCTTCTCCCATCAACCCGGCACAGAGCGGGAGCCCCAACCATGTGGATTCCACCTTCTTCCCAACATCTTCAGCTTCCTCATCTTCTGACAACGACGATGGCAATGGAGGAGCCAGCAAGTGAGTTTTCCGTAATCTGTTTTCTGTAAAATTAAAAGAAAAAGAAAGAGAGCTTAACCTGCTGTTACAGAAAAACTGTATTAGGGCTCGTTCACACCATGTGTGCAGAAAAAAAACTGATGGAAACTGACACGCAGATTTCACTTGTAGAGACACACATTTACATCAGTTTTCATGCAGGTTTCAGTGAGTTTTAGGGCTCATTCACACACCAGTGTGCAGAGACGTTGTTTTTTCTGCACGCATTCTGCAGGGGCACAACAAATCCGTTGTTCTCTTTGTGCCCTGTTCACACCACAACACTAGTATCACGTGCAGACTTTTTGAGCAGAAATCTGCAAAGTGTTTAAAACTCATTTGAAGCGTACAGGAAAACTTGTCTCTGCAAGTGAAATCTGCATGTCAGTTTCCATCAGTTTTTCTGCATGTATGGTGTGAACAAGACCTTATACATGATGCAGATTCTTACCCAGGAAAAATCTGCACGTGATACTACTGTTGTGGTGTAAGCAGGGCACATAGAAAACAAATGATTTTGTTGTGCCCTTGCAGAAAAACTGACGTCTCTGCACACTGGTGTGACCATTGGGTTCTTAGTCACCTCTCTTACTAGGGCCCTTCTCTCTGATTGCTCACTTTGGCCAGGTGATCAGCTTTTAAAATCCTGGTTGCGCCAAACTTTTAGCATTGGAGAACTATGGAGGCCACTGTACTCTTGGGAACCTTCAGTGCAGCAGAATTTGTTTTGTAGCCTTACCTAGGTCTGTGCCTTTTGATAATCCTGTCTCTGAGCTTTGCAGGCAGTTCCTTTTGACCTCATGACTTTTGCTCTGATACAGTATACATTGTCAGCTGTGAGGATTTTTATAAAGGTGTGTGCCTTTTCAAATCATGTCCAATCAATTTACTGTACCATAGTTAAACTCCAATCGAAGTATAGCAATAGGAGGCACCTGAGCTGAATTTTAAGTGTTGTTGCAAAAGGTCTAAATACTTATGCCAATGTGATATTTCAGTTTTTCCATTTTTTATACATTTGAAAGCATTTCTATACTGAGGGAAAAAAATGAACCTAAACTACTGTACTATCAGGCTGCAACATAACAAAATTGAAACGTGAAGGGGGCTGTATACTTTATGAATGCACTATACATATTTCTTAGGCAGCTCTTATGCTTTTAAATGATGTATACCTACTGGTGGGTGTTTTGAATGAGGCTTTGTTAGCAGAAAGTTGATCTGTCTAAGGTTCCCTTAGGGCGGGTGTCGGCAACCCGCGGCTCCAGAGCCGCATGCGGCTCTTTTTCATCTTTGCTGCGGCTCCGGAGCACACTGCCCACCAGGTGACAGGCAATAGGGTTTCAGTGGTCGGCAAGCCGCGGATCGCAAGCCACATGCGGCTCTTCTGTGTGCCGGGCGCCCGCTCCCCTCCCCCCTCCTCTCGGGCGGCCGCCTCAAAAGTCAGGACTCTTTTAATCCGGCCCGCGGAGCGTGGAACATTAGCTGTCAGGATGTAGGCGGGGCAGCCAGGATGTAGGCGGGGCAGCGTGACGAACTCCTCTCACAGTCCGCCCTGAAGACCGGAACACAGCGCGGGAACACAGCACAGCGAGAGGAACGCGCGGAGCAAAGGTAAGTGAATTGAGACAATATGGGGAATTAATTACTATAGGGGGGATGAATTACTATGGGGGATGAATTATTATATGGAGGATTAATTACTATGGGGGATGAATTACTATGGAGGATGAATTACTATATGGGGGATGAATTATTATATGGAGGATTAATTACTATGGGGGATGGGGATGAATTACTATATGGAGGATGAATTACTATATGGGGGGATGAATTACTATGGGGGATGAATTACTATAGGGGGGAGGAATTACTATATTACTATAGGGGGGAGGAATTACTATAGGGGGGAGGAATTACTTAGGGGGGGATGAATTACTATAGGGGGGATGAATTACTATAGGGGGGATGAATTACTATGGGGGATGAATTACTATAGGGGGGAGGGGGGATGAATTACTATAGGGGGGATGAATTACTATAGGGGGGATGAATTACTATGGGGGATGAATTACTATATGGGGGATGAAGCTAACTGCACGATCCTGTATATAGCATTAAGGTAAGAAACAATATATGCAGTGTCGGATTTGTTTTAAATGTTGCAATGGTTTTGCGGCTCCCAGTCTTTTTTTTCCCTTCGGAAACTGGTCCAAGTGGCTCTTTATGTCTTAAAAGTTGCAGACCCCTGCCTTAGGGTATCCCATACCACTGACTGAGAAACTGATGTGCAAAATAAAGATGCCTGCACATAACCGCAGCAGTTTTCATTGCAACCTGTATGGCCAAATGTCAGGCCAATCTAAATCAAAAATACATACTTATACTATAAATCAAATCACAAAAAATACATAAAACTCTGCGAACAATAAAAATCATAAGTACATGCTACACATATATTAATAGTATTAATAATAATCTTGAACATAAAACGTGTACTTGCCATTTGTGAATGTGCGTATAAATGTATCCATTCCCTTAATATAATTACACATGCTCATCATACATAAATGTCCAAAATAAAGTGCTTGAGTGCAAATAATTTTGTGTCTGTTTATTTCATCAGTTAGCACTTTCATGGAAACTGTTACCAAGCACACCACCTGCTCACCGCCACAGATTGACCTATAAGTAAAAATAGGCCATGCAGCACCTTAATCTTTAAAGGACAAGTTTCACCTTTCATAACATGTTACACCCATATTCAGGGGGTTGGGGGGCAGTGTGTGCAAGGAGGGGGCAGGAGAGGAGTGGTGTATATAGTGAGGGAGCAGTGTGTGCAGTGAGGGAGCAGTGTATACACCCAGGCTCCCACACTGGCTGCCCCTATGTTACTGCTGTTTTTTTTTTTAAATGTAATTACCAGCTTTTTTTTTTCTCCTTCACTATAGCTCCAAGAATGAGCTGTCATTCTCCCCTCCTAAAATAAACTAAGGGGCAGGTTCACTGGGTGACCCCGCCCCTTAGTTTCCCTTAGCTGAAGAGAGAATGTCAGCTCATTCTCGGAGCTATAGTGAAGGAAAAAAAAAAGCAGGTAATTGCATTTAAAAATGTGTCGGTTTTTAAATGTAATTACCGGCTTTTTTTCCCCTTCACTATAGCTCTGAGAATGAGCTGTCACTCTCCCCTCCACTAAGGGAAGCTGAGGGGCGGGGTCACCCAGTGACATTACCCAGTGACCCCGCCCCTTAGTGTCCTTTAGCGGAGGTGAGAATGACAGCTCATTCTTGGAGCTATAGTGAAGGGGGAAAAAAAGCTGGTGATTACATTTAAAAACTAGCAGTGACATTTAGCGGTATCTCACTATATACACTGCCCCTCTCCTGCCCTTCTTCGGCAACCCCCCCCCCCCCCCCATATATGCATTACACACAGCCCCCTATAGACACCTGTATCTGCTATTAACAAAATGCCGGTAGGGCTACTTTCGGCCAATATGTTTCGGCTGCCAACGTTTCGGTGCATCCCTGCTTATTTTACTTTTAGGTCAATCTGTGGAGGTGAGCAGGTGGTGTGCTTGGTTTCCACGAAGGTGTTATTTGATGAAATAAATACAGAGACACAGGATTACTTGCACTCAAGTACGTTGTTGCATCTATGATTATATTCTGGAACTGAATGAAAATATATATATGCACATTTACAAATTGCAAGTACACACATTTTATTTTGAGGGGCTCCTTGGCTGCACTATAGCCATTTTGCACCTCTGCAGCTTCTGGATCAGTTGACAACCCGATGGTGCCTTTGGGAACTGTACTCAAACCCCGCCCAATGGAACAAGTGTAGCTGTGTAATGTTGCTGGGATGCAATGGATCCTGCTGTAGCCACTCCCCGTGGTATGCAGGGCAGTGCATAAACTGCCATCGGTAAAGCCCTGTTAATGAAGACCCCTGTGGGGTTATAGAGAGAAAACAGGTGGCGCACACACCTAGTGCATTATCCAAGGTTTATTGTAGGAGTGAAAGAATAATAAAAACATACTCACAGACGAAGCATGTATCTAAAAAGCGTAGAAAAATGACAATGGCCACAACGGTAGGCAAGGTGTTCTCACTGTCAGTGCGGTCAAATGCTGACACGTTTCGGGGACGAATCCCAGATCTATGATGAATGGAAAGTAGGAGCCTTGCTGTTGAGGCATCAACAGCAAGGCTCCTACTTTCCATTCATCATACATCTGCATCAGAGGCTGGACATCAGCTCTGAGGAAAGGGATTCGTCCCCGAAACGTGTCAGACATTTGACCGCACTAACAGTGAGAACACCTTGCCTGCCGTTGTGGCCATTGTCATTTTTCTATGCTTTTTAGATACATGCTTCGTCTGTGAGTATGTTTTTATTATTCTTTCACTCCTACAATAAACCTTGGATAATGCACTAGGTGTGTGCGCCACCTGTTTTCTCTCTATCCAGTGGCTGATTTCCTCGTCTGAGGAGGGCTGCACCCCTGAAGCATTTCCTTTGGTTGTCGCTGTCCTGGTACCCTTGGCTTCCCTTTTGGCTGTGCATATCCTGAGGCGCTGGAGAGTACATACGATACCCTGTGGGGTTATGCCCATTGTGGAGGGTGAAGCCAGGAACGAGCCTGACCCCACCGCCTGCATTTAAGTTTCAGCGGTGAGTATATGGCAGAAGACCTTTAACATCTCTATGGCCAGGGTGTCTAGAACCCTCTGCTAATCGCTGCTTGAATCTGCATTTGCTTTTATGGTAGGCTGCCAGACCATAGCTTTCTGGACGAAGAGCATTCCTAGTTCCATGCTAACAAATTCCTCAGTCCACAGTCAGTTGGTCCTTTCACCTACGGTCTTACTGCATGAACGGCTTGGCGAACACACTTCACTTAATAAGATCTCCAGGATGAGTCTCCTCCCCATCCGTATTCACAGGGTAATTTGGCTTAAATGCTGTTGCTGAGCTTCCATGCTGGAAGTGTCTTCAGCCTTTGCTCCTTGAAGGGTACCTGTTTTGTACCTCATTTGATAGATACATCAGGGATATTAAAGGGGATAAAAGTACTGTTCTTCCCCAGAAAAAGAAGGCTTGCACCTCCACTAGTAGGACTTCTGCACCTGAGGCTAGCAAAAGTTATTTCACCCCTCTGTCTTCCAGTTCCTAATTCGAGGTAGGAATGTATTTTCTTAAGATGGTTCCAAAACCTTTTTTCCAGTGATGGGGAGCCCCAATATCTAAGAGTGGGTGGACATCATTCAGTCTTCTGGTCCCAGAAAATTTCAGACCCCTGAGTCCAGTGTGTCATTTTAAGGGGGCTTTGAACTGGAGTTTGGCAGTTTGCCTCATCCTCATGGGCAGATCTGCTGGCTGCTGTACAGCAGCTTTTTTATTAAGGGACCGTTGCCCAAGTTGAAAAACTTTCAAGGCTTCTACTTGAACTTTGTTATGGTTTCAAAACTAAATTAAGTCATTCCCACTCTGGATCTAAAGGCTCTCAACTTGTTCCTAGGGGTGCAAAAGTTCCACATGGAAACTATCATTGCTTCCCTTCTTCCAGGGTAGATTCAGGATACCTACTCCGCTCTTCATGATAGAAGTCCCAGGAAGACCTCAGTACTAAAAGATTTACTTTAAAAAAGCCTGGACTGGAGAATGCTAAAATACTTGTTAGGTTTTGTAAGTGTTAGCATCTCTGTTTACAGAAGAAAAGTTTTTTTGTTTTTTTGTTTTGTATTTTTGTATTTTTTTTAAAAAAGAACAGCAACCATAAAACATAGAGGCTCCATAATGTGTTGTTGTAGTACCTTTGTCATCAAGTTCTGTGAATCTTTTCAGGGCACTATATCAGTAAAATATCAAGACATTCTCGAGCAAAACAGCATGCCTGGTGTTGGAAGATCTGTGACATAAGACTAAGACAAAGCTTTCCAACAGGATAATAGCCCAAAACATACATCTGAAGCCTGGAACCCAGCAGGCTCAATGGGAAAAAAAAGGGGTTGCTGTTTTAACACAAAAGATGTTAGTACAGCAATCTCCCCTGCTGTGCTATTGTGTCCTGACAGGGGGACCATCCCCACCCGCTAGAACACAATGGTCAGCACTCGCAACCATTGACTGAGAGCGCTGATCAGATGTCGGTCGGCTGCTGGTTTTCCAGCATGCTTGTTCAACAGAAGCCATTCGTAAGATTGGCTTTTGTCTGATGGGCAGCTGTACACATGGGTCAAATGACGGCCACTTTCCACTGTGCTGGCTGATTTCGGCCGATATTTGGCCCTTTAGAGGGCTTTAGAGAAACTAAGTATGGTTGATTAGCAAACGTGGGTTTGTTTTGAAATCGCTATATTTGAATCCAATTGAACATATTTGGAATGGGCTAAAATTGGAGAAGGAGCCAATCAAACTGAAAACAGTAGTCATTTTTCGAGAGAGAGAGAGAGAGAGAGAGAGAGAGAGAGAGAGAGACCGACCTCCAGTTGACAAGAGTTGAATTTTTTTTTTTCTTGAGCTACAGAAAGTGATTGATTACAATTATTGTCTCCAAAAGGTGGGATGGAATTTGATCAGGAGTATTTATAATTTTGTCCATTTCATTTGTTTTGTTTATGACAATGTTAACCTAAAAAAGCAAATGCAAAGTGTCTGCTTTATGAACATTAAAATAAAGAATGGTCGGGTATCAGTAGTTTTCTGCAGACTATATGCCTTTGGTATAACACCCAAACTTTCGCTAAGAAAGAATAGAGAATCACAAGGTGACCAAACAAGGTTTTTGCTGGTCTTACCCTTAAAAAGTACATTTATATGTATTGCTTGCACAGTACTTGAACTGACTTTTTTTGGCTAGTCTGTTTCGATCTTTCAGATGCTAAATAGCTGCTTTTTTCTTTTCAGTCATGTCAGCGGGAATAAGCCTGGGTGGGAGAAAAAGGAAAAATCACCTGGTAAAACAAACAAGAAGGAAAATGCAGACCAAGTAAAGGTAATCAGTTCAGATCTATAAAATAAGTTATTCTCAAATGTGTGCTGTTCTCCTTAAATTTGGATGAATTACAGCAGTTTTATTTAAAAGAGGAGTATGGACTTTATATTACAAAAAAAAAATTACGCACCTATGTGGATGTAGCATCAGTGCAATGCTGCATCTGTCCCCTGCCAGCTCTGCAGTGAAAACTGAGCGATCAAACACCGCTGATAGCTCAGTTCTCCTCTGGGCTCTGAGTAGAGAGCCGTGACTGTCCGTCTCTGGCTCTCTGCACTGCTCCTCCAGCACTCACTAGGCTGCTGGGCTGTGGAGGGGCTGGGTGAGGCTGAGCCAAGTGCTAGTCCAGGCTTTTTTGAGTGAATTCCGAACATATGATCAGGATCTTTTCAGAGCTCAGCTCATTGACGCCAGCTGACAGTGGACGTTAGCCCACAGTTGTTCTTTATGGAGACTAGAAACACCCCCCCTCCCCGGAGTTGTCCACAGCCACCAAACATTTATCAGCCCTGTACCTGTATAAGGAATAGTTTGTTATAAAGTAAGCTGCCCCCTCCCGGGGATCTAGCAGCATTACCACTGCAGTCCCTGTGTACGAATGATTCCTGGAGTTCTACTTCACCCCTTCTTGGATCTCAGGGCCCTAAATGTATTTATTTAAGCCCAGAGATTCCACATGGAATTCACCAAGTTTGTCATGGCCTTTCCACCTTGATACTTTCAAGCTTCTGTGGACAATGTGCAACTGCATGTCATGTTTATTTTCAGAACATCGGCGATTCCTTTGTTTTGATGTAAGTCCCCAGTACTTCAGTTTGTGGTGCTGTCATTCAGCCTAGCTTCTGCATCTCGGTTATTCACCAAGATGTTGGTTTCTTTGCTAGCCCTGCTGAGCTCCCAGAGTATCCCCATTGGGGTAAATCTGAACAGCCTCTTGTTGAGGTAAAAGTTAATGCAGGTTCTGGCAGACAGTGTAGTTTTAAACTGCCCAGACCTTGCAAAGGTTTGGCTGGGTGCCGAAACTTCAGAAGTCAGCCCTGGAACTGACTTATTGGTTGGAATATCTGGGTCTACTTCTGGACACAGCTTACGCCGGCATTTCTCTTCCCCAGGAAAGACTTCAATCTCCAGATCCAGACTCTTTAGTTCAGCAATCAGCCAACTCTTCGCTTCTGCAAGGGAGTTCTGGGACTTATGGTAGCCTCTTTCGAGGCAGTCCCATTTGCTCTTTTCATGCAAGACCCCTACAACACAATATTCTGTTGTCGAGGAACAAGTCAATCCAGTCCTTGGACAGACTCCTTCATCTGACACCAAGGACTAGACTGTCCCTGGCCTGGTGGTTCAGGAATCCTGTTTTGGAGTTTTTTGGTAACTGCAAACTTCTGAGTCTACTTGGGTTCTGTGTGGGCGGTTTTCCCCTGCATACAGAACACAGGGACTGCTTGCTCAGCACTGCCACCATTCTTAGAATGCTTTTATTCTTTACAGTAACACAAGGCGTTCTTTACGTGTGGCCTTGGGGAAGTTTATTTCATGTTCTGGTTACAACTCTTATCACCTGAGCAGAAAGTAGAGTCTCCAGCAAGGAAAAGACTGTATTAAAGAGCTAGCAGGGGTTCTAGTCTTCCTGCTCTAAAAGATAGTTTGTATTCTGTATCTCTCCCACAGGGACAGGAAGCAAATCAAAATCCATCTAACTGGGCTGAAAACCGCATTAAAAACTCAGAGGTTCTAAACCTGTCTGATATGTAGCCAAAGTTAGAAAAATGGAGCATGACATCACTATTAATGACACTAATGTATGAATATTTGTGCTCTGAGAGCCCCAGAAGGAATTTGGATGCAGAAGAATCCTTGGTAGTTTTGTCCATGGGCGTCTATACATATATCATAGAGCTTACTAAATAGAATAAAGTATCACTGGACACATAAGCAAGCCTTCCTGAATCCATTGTATAAGTAATATTTATATTTGGGCCTAAAATATACCATCAAGGCCATGTTCATAAACGATTTGAGTCTATTTTCCTTCTATGTTTGATCTCATAGCACCTATGAACTTGCACTGGCTACAGATTAGTTTTCTGTTAAAAATAAATTGTGTGGACCGACTGATTTCAAAGAGTGGCTGTTCAATATTTATCTTATCTGCATTCATTACAGACTGACGGCTCCTCAGCTACCACATCAGGAACCAAGGCAACTGAGAAGAAAAGCAACCAGGGGGGTGGTCTGCAGATTCCATGTCTTCTGTCCATGCCCACCAGGAATCACATGGACATCACAACTCCTCCATTGCCTCCTGTAGCACCTGAAGTATTAAGAGTAGCTGAACATCGCCACAAGAAGGGCTTAATGTACCCTTACATCTTTCATGTACTCACAAAGGTAAGTCTAACCCTGGCTACTACTTTTACCTGTTTCTGAGTTTACAGTTTTCCTGATTAGATTGATGCTGCATCATTCAAATCAAATGGTTCTGTTAACTTTGAGCATTATAGTTTTCCCCTGTCCGCAAAAACTGTGCAGAGGGATCCTCCAATAAGCAAAACATTCCCGGGGGAGCAGCAATTACCAAACCACTAGTGACCGATAATGCTCAGAAGAGGAAAGAGTGGTGCAACTCCCATAAATCATGGACTATCGTTCAATAGAAGACTGTAATATGGTCTGATGAATTAAGCCTCACACTGTTCCCAACCACCGGACCTGTTTACGTGTGGCAAACAACGTCCCAAGCTTATGACCAGGGCTGTCTTGTTCCAACGGTAATGCATGGTGTCGGCACAATCATGGTTTGGGCAGCCATAATTTGGTATTCAGCAGGCCCCATCATTGCCTTGAAAGGTAGAGTTACTGCCAGTGACTGTGTACATAGTTGGCTGACTATGGCACATGGTTTCCCAAAGATCAAGATGATAATGTATTGATTTACTGGTGTTTTCAAATTGTGGTTTGACAGGCATGCAGATGGACTCGCACCGTTCCTGCGTGCCGCAGTTGCATGACCTCAATATCATAGAGCCACTGTGGTCTGTTTTGGAGAACGAGGTTCGGGCTTGTTTTCAGCCTCCAGCATCTCTGTGAGAACTGGAATTATTTTTGCATGAAGAGTGGTATCAGATTTCATTATGCTGCATTGTGGGGGTCAGGAGGGAATGCCCACTTATGCCGCATGCTCACAAGTACTCAGTTTTTACAGGACCACTCCAGTCTGTCAGGTGCCTTTTGTAAGTGCAGAATCACTTGATGCACACAGATTTGCACACAGATAAAATTATGTATATGTATATGATGGCATTTTCATCTGCCAAAGGATTTGTTTTTGTCAATCCAGTCTTGAGCTTTACACAGCTATGCCCCAGAACACAGTCTTTCTGTGCGGATTAGAGGACTTGATCTTCTCTGCTGTAGTTTCATTTTTATATACAGCTTGTTCACAAAATGTCCATTGAACTGTTTTTATCACCCTATTGGTAGGGTGTGAACAGTTGTAGTGTCCTGATTCCTGTGTAGTGGTGTACAAAACCCCCCCCCCCCCCCCAACTCTATAGACATGGTTTAAGCAAGGTCTTATTTATCGTCGTCGTCCCCCCACCCTGGAACCAGACTGTGAAAGGATAGGCAGCATCATGATGAGCTTATCTCTCTGTCTTGCAGTGGACTGCAAAAAGCTGCTACTATTGAAATTTAGCTATTTGCACTGCTTATATATTTAAAACAAACATTTTTGATGACATATTAATGCTTACAGAGCTGTATTAAAAGAGAAGTATGGACTTAAAAAAAAAATCATACTTAGCTAGGTGGATGCAGCATCAATCCCTCGCCTGCTCTGGAGTGAGAACTGAGCGATCAAAGACCACTGATTGCTTAGTTCTCCCCCTCCACTCTTGTAACTGTTAGTCTCCGACTCCCTGCTCTGCCCCTCCAGTGCTCACTGGAGCCCTGGCCTGTAGAGGGGGCAAGAGGGGATGTCTCAGGCTCTTGGTTGATCGCTGAGAGGCTGAGCCAGGTGCTGGTCCAGGCTTCAAGGTGGATCCTGACCATATGGTCCGGGATCTTTAAGAGCCTGGATCGGCTGAGTGATGTCAGCCGACAGAGTTGGCTTAATGTGGTTTTTTTTTTTTTTTTTGGTTTTTTTTTGCCTCATGGAGGCAGCAGAATAGCCCAAATTTACAAGAATTGGTGTATTCCTGTGTAAGACCTCAAGAAATTTTGTTTCCGGAAACTACAAAAGTCTTATATTTAATTCCATTTTGGATAGAGTAGGGGGTGTTAAAAACCCCTGTCAGATATAACACCAAACTTAGGTAAATCTCCTCTTAGGTGTTACCGCAACCTTGTCTGCAGTGGAATATTTCTTTATTCCAGGTCTAGGGGCAACTCAAAGTTTTAGATTTTTCCCTCTCATTCAAACTCAGTAACAGTGGCCACCAGGACAAATAGAGTGGATCTCCTTAGCCAGGACATAGACAGCATTCAAAACCGGACAGGTTCTAATTCTTCCTTTTTTTTTTTTTTTTTTTTTTTTTTTTTTTGTGTAGTTTTACCAGAAAGACCTACTTTACCTTGCAGAGTACTTTATAAGGTTACACTACTGCAACAGTTCAACATATACTTGTCCCACACAACATATAATGCTGAAATTAACATTTTGACTTTAGATATATTTTAAATAGGTTTCTTGCATAGTTTTTTTTTTTTTTCTTAACTTGCATTTGACTTGATATGGATGATAGCCCTGAAACTGTTAAACATTTACTGGTTTCCAATTGTTCCACGTTTATCACCCAGTTCCTCTCAGGTTGGACTTCTACTTTTTTTTATTGCTTGTCATCCTTTTTCACATATAAAATGACTGTGCTAATATTGTTCTTCTTTGTTGTAGAATGTATTTTATTTGGTGTGTCAATTTAATCTTGTTAATAATGTATTTAATTAGGGAGAGATAAAAATTCCGGTTACCATTGAAGATGAAGTGAACAAGGACCTTCCCCCAGCTGCTATCCTCTACAGACCGGTGCGCCAGTATGTCTATGGGGTCCTGTTCAGCCTGGCAGAGAGCAGGAAGAAAGCGGAGCGACTTGCTTTTAGAAAGAACAGGATGCCCCCAGAACGTAAGTCAGCTTATGGTCTCTTTTTCTTTTCCCCTCCATTTCCTGACCACTTTACCTAAAAAGACACTTTAGGCATCCTCCCACCTAAAATGGCATGAAATAGAAGGTTTTAGACCGCTGCGCAGCAACGGTGAAAGGACTGATGCAAGGCTGATATATAACTTAGTATATGTAGACCCGAACAATGAGCTTCTGTTATTGCTCCATTTTGGTCTGGTAAATATACCAGTAAAAGCATTTGTTACATCCTTTAAGTGCACATAAAATGTTGATCTTTTCAGAAATTCATTTGTCATGTGTCTGCTGAATACTTTCTATGTTATCTCAGATTATTTAGCTCACCTATTTCTTATCTTGGAGACTACAATTCAATATGTTCTTATACTTTAGTGGGCAAAGATGGTGGAATGAACTTGGTAGTATTATAAGAAAACTAGGCAGGGCTGACATTACTCAGTCCACAGAAATGCTGCTTGACGTCAGTCCACAATAGGAAAGCAAAAGGAATAAAACATGGAGAAAGGTGCATGTATTGTAGACATGTACTGCATATGTTTTTTCTTTTGTTTTTTGCCTTGGCATAAGCTCTAAAATATATTAGGATTTGTTACTGCCCTTGTTGGTTCATAATTAAAAGGTTAAGTTACTGAGTAGTTTAAATAACATGTTTAACACCTGCTATTATCATTGTTAACCAGAAACGATTTTTCTGTGTATCTCTGTTCTGGTTATATTGTAATTAAGGGCTCAGCTGCTGCTAACATTGAGGCTCCCTGCTGCTCACTCATGCTATCCCATGTCCATAAGAATAGCTAAGTGGCCAATAGTGGCTCTCTCATTGGACTAGATGATTGTGAGTGGGGCTTTGCTTCAGGGGTGAGGCTTAGCCATGAAATGAAGTTGGGCTCCCTCAGAAAAGGCTGGTACTCAATGGCCTTACAGAAACCAGCCAATATTCTTCCAATGTGTACAGCAGCCTGTCTGACACAAGCCAGTCTAATTTCTGGCAAAACCAGCATTCAATCGTCACTGGCAGCCAATGGCTATGAGAGCTGATCAGTGTATTCTGGTGGGGGAGCAGCCCCCTTGTCAGAACACAATAGCACAGCAGGGGAGATTGCTGCACTAACATTACATAGTTAGTACAGCGACCTCTCAGGTGTTTTTTTTTTTTTTGTCGTTCAGCCCACTTAGTTGAACGAAAAAACTTATTGTGTGTTCCTAGCATTAGGAAGTATTAGCAGGAAACCATGAAAATGAAAGACTGTAGCCTTTTAACAGATTGTCATCTTTTGGTAGCCATGCCTGCTTTCACTGTGTAAAGATGGTTAATGAAGCACTGATAAATCTGCATTTAAAAATAAAATTATGGCTACCAATTATAGAATACAATATCTCTCACCTAAAGACTGAAGCTAGAGAAAGACCCGGCCCAATGGCTCTTGACACCTCTCTTCCTTTTTTTTTTTTTTTTTTCTCCCCCTTTTTTCTCAGTTTATTCTTGACAATTTTAATTGTTATGAAATCAGTTGTTCACGAATTGTTACTTTCTATAACATACGGTTTGTATGAATATCAATTGCTTTGAGCTCTCCTTCTACCCGGTTTAGGTCGGGGGGAGGTAGGGAATGTTTTACATACTCCACTGCTTAATGCCCTTACCATCTAAGCTGTGATATGATGTCCATTACTGTTGTTTTCATTATAAACAAATTGAAATAAAAAAAAAAAAAAAAAATATTATTATTATTATGACAGTTCATATGTTGTACCAGGGGCGGACTGACCATTTGGAAACTTGGGCACTGCCCGAGGGCCCTGGGTCAGTAGGGGACCCCATGAGATGCCCCTGGTACCTTTTTCATAGGCTTTTTTGAGTTTGAGCAAGGACACAGGGGCCCCATGATCCCCTATTGCCCGGGGGCCCCATGAGTTGTCAGTCCTCCCCTGTGTTGTACCCATTGTTCATTTTGGCATTTTATTTTGTCATACAGATTACCCAGTCATTATTAAGGAGTGGGCAGCTTATAAAGGAAAGTCCCCTCAGACACCAGAGCTAGTGGAAGCCCTTGCCTTCAGGGAATGGACCTGTCCTAATCTAAAGAAGCTGTGGTTGGGCAAAGCAGTTGAAGACAAGAACCGAAGGATGAGAGCTTTTCTGGCCTGTATGAGATCTGACACACCAGCCATGCTTAACCCTGCTAATGTGCCCACTCACCTTATGGTGCTTTGTTGTGTATTACGGTGAGTGAGTGCCATGTATTCCTTACAATGATGCATATGGTGTATGTGTAATAAGAAAATGGTTATTCATTGGTATTGCCATGGCTGCTGTAGAATATGGATGAACCCACCTGGAGTAAAGCTTTTCTTTCTCATCTACTTGAGGATTGTTCAGAAGTGTGCAGCAATTGGAAAAACACCCATCTCCGCACACAGTAAACCATTGTTTTCTATGTGCTTTCTTCACAGTGGAACACAGGTGGCAGTGGTGGAAAATTACTGTGTGGGAAAAAATGCAACTTGTCCACATTTTCCACTCTGCAGCCATCTCTCATCTTTTGTGTTTCTATGCATGGAAATTAATGCAGCTTCCCTATGACATTTCAATACATTTAAAAAAAAAAAAAAAAAAAAGGTAAATAATGCCTTGCATTGTAAAAATGCAAGGCACTGCCCCTCAAAGCCCATCTAAGAAGGACACCAAGCTGCACAGGAAAACAATGTTTTCCTGTGTGGTTGGTGAGAACCAGCCTGAGAGACGCAGGAAATCATTATTTGTTGGGTTATACTGCTGCCTGCAAGAGTTGTCAAACTAAAAAGAAATTGTGGGCCGGCCCTGGATAACCCCCTACGACCCAGCATGCCAATTTTTTTTTCAGTCCGCTGCACTGGGTGCCCCCTGCTTTAAGTGATACTAAACCTCAAAATACTTTTTACCTTAATGCATTGCTTGTTTGTTCCCTGTGTGAAGAAGTGAGGGGAGAAGAGATCAGCACTGTGCATGGCTGCATCTCTCTTCGCCCCTTGCTTCCTCTTCACACAAGGACTCGAACAGCAGCAGGAGCTATTGGTTCTTGCTGTTGTCAATCAACTGTGGTGAAGAGGAGGGGGGGGGGGGGGGGGCGCAAGTCCTGTTGTGTGTATCTGTGTAGCGCAGCTCCATAGACAAACAGGTCACGAGCGAGCATGCAGCATTTGTGCCCATAGCAAACTGCTAGAAGAAGAGGAGGAGCCGGGATCTCCAGCAGGGGACCTGAGAAGAGGAGGATCGGAGGAGTATAACATGATTTTTTTTTTTTTTACTTTAAGAAAAACTTTTTTTGCCTTTAACACTTTAAGCTGGCAATACACTAGTAGAATTGTTTTTTGAAAATGTCCATGTTAAGAGCATTCATTCGATTTTCTATTAGTGGGTTTTCAACTCAAGTAACGAAAATTTGAAGGAGTAGGAAGGGAGTTTTTTTCTTGAACAGAAAGTCCCTATCATTTTGTTTCAACATTTAGTTGCAACATGCTGGAATGGCTACACACTTTTTCTTTTCTACTTTTATGTAGAGCTATAAGAGATGTAGGGGCCCTGTAGCGCGGTAGTGTTTTCAAACTGATGCAGGGGCCATCATTTTAAATGGAGATAGTAGTTAAGTTGTTTATGATATAAAGGAAACCGTCCCAAAATAAGCGTCAGGATTCAAATATTGGAGCTGCCACTGCTGACACAAAGGTTCATGCACGGGGACAAATGCGGTTTGTACAGGTGTGTTTTTGCATATGGTTTACTTAAAGCAGCTCTCTCACTTCCCTTGAAAAATCTAAGTGCTTGCTTCCTGTGGACTGTGAATGCATACAGTATGTTTCTGGTGGGTGGTGAATCCAAATGTCTCTGAACACTGCAACCTCTGGCAAGTATTCAATATTTAACACTTGTGAGTCTCAAAATGCCTACATTTCCCCATCATGTGCCTTGGTTCTTTCAGCCAACCCCTACATCACTGCTGAGTCCTGTTTGGACATAGGGGTTGGAGGAAGGTAACTTGCACGAGATGCAGGCATTTAACACTTCCAGAAGTGAGTTGATTGTTGAAGACTTTCCATCTCTGAAAGACAAAGATGTTCATGCTCACCACACACCAGTAAGTATGTACAGTCTTCTTGCAGGAACCCAGTGTTTAGATTTTTTTAGAGTAAGCAACTGAGTCACTTTATTATCATGCATGTTGTGTTTTTTTAGCATGAGGTTAACAAACACATTTGTTTTGCAGTTATATGGTGCAATGGCCAGGTATCAGAATACTTCGGCGCCAGGAGCTTGATGCCTTCCTCTCTCAGGCACTGTCACCCAAACTCTATGAGCCTGACCAACTCCAGGAACTCAAGGTACGGATTATTACATGTTATTGTGCAGCCCCCCAGTATAAATGTGTCAGTCTAAATGCTTTCATCTCAAAGTCCTGCCTAAGGCTGGCCATACATTAAACAATTTTCTTTCCTTCAACAATGGGTTGAATGTGTTGATGGGGGAATCCCTTCCACTGCTATATTGTATTCTGACAGCTGGAGGTTTCCCCACTGTCAAAGTACAATGTTTACTGTTGGGTCAGAAAACAGAAAATTGTGTCCTCAAGACCAAAAGCAAGAAAGAAACGGGAAAAACCCCCCCCACAATATAATATAAATTACGAGGGAACTGTCGGTACATAGATATATATATCTATATATAGATAGATATGAAAGAAAAAAGTGTAAAAACTAGATTGAAGCTCAGCCTCAATATATTATGATGTAATGTATCCCTAAGTAGATATATGTAAGAGACCCAGTAAATAGCCTGACATTTGTAGTCATAGAAGAAAAATGTGACTTTATTGAAAGCCTAGAACATACAAAAACCCACTGTCTAATAAAATCATAATTGGCCGACTATTGAAAACCCAACCAATGGTATGTATCAAAATATTTACAAATATTAACAAATCTGAAACTATATTCACATAACGTAAACCTCTCCTCCATATAGGTGTTTGAAAATGGGCCACTGCATATGGCTAAGTATCATTCAGAGTCCATGAATACAATCCTTTAATGGAATATATTGTGGGGCCTACATGTCTAAATATTCAGAATTCATGGAGAAATCCTCTAATGGAACGTATTATTGGCCAACCCATATATAGACAGTGTAGATAGGCCACTGCATGTGGCTAGATATCATTCAAAGTCCATGGAGATGTCCTCAAATATTATATATTGTAAAGCCAACCCACATTGAGCAGTATAGAACCAGAATGAGTTATGGCACATACCAGACATCACTGCAAGACTCCCAGGGAGGGATGCCCATATCATCGCATATAGCCTTTATGTAGCTTGTAACATGGCACCTTGTACCCTCCCCTGTTGGCAATTAGATCCTCATAGGAAAATTCCTGCAACTATATAACAAAAAACTTGTAATTGCCTAATAGGGGAGCAAGCAGTTGATCAAAGTTCCAAGCCATATAACACTCAGATGGAATAATACTTAGCTGTCTGTGTGGGTCTTGTTAGGTCCAGACTGTTCTCATAGAAGTTGGTGGTTTGTAGGTCCGTGTCCAAAGGAACCATGGACTCTTATGTATATGGAGGAGATAAGGAGGGAGGGATCCCAAAAGCTGCTGACCTTATGGGAGCAAGGCCGGAAGTCTGGCCAGTTTCGCCGGTCACGCTTCACAGGCAAATGTCACCAATGCACGATTACTGTTGCTGGCTACAGGCAGCAGCAATAGTCGTACAATAAAAACTTGACAGGCTGGATCTACTTCAGCGCAACTAGCCTGCCCATTGATGGATCAAAATTCGTCCAGTTCCTTCTTTAATCTGGATGAGTTTTATGCATCTATGGCATCTTAAGAGCAAGTGTGTTGAAATCTTTCATTGTTAGCCAGAATACCCCCTTCTCCCAACTCTATTCTCAGTTTTGAAGCGATTGAAAAGTTTGTACTGTTTTTCAACCCTTTTATCATTCTTTATTGAATCTGTATACTGCTGATCTGCAGCCTGTTTGGATCCACTTCCTGACTACATAAATGCACACACCCCAGAAATGACTGCCTGCAACTTCTCAGGGTTGTTTCCTAATGTTGAGAACAATGGACGATGCGTACTGAATGTGGCATAAAAAGTCCAATTGTATTTTCCAATGGTAGCCCTGTAACAGGATAACAATGCAAGGGCAAAACTGAGAAATGTAGACAGAGCATTCCTATAAAAACACTTGCCTGAACAAGGACCATCATGGCAGGATCACCAGCTATGAGCTTAATGAATGCTGCTGAATTGAAAGTTAATTTCAGTATTTTTAAATTGGATTAACATGTAAAAGATTGAGTTTCGTAATCATATTTGCATAAACTTTTAAAAACATAAATTGTATTAATGAAGAAACATTTCTCGTTATAAGACTCACAATTCTAACATAGAACTTGTGGTTTTTAGATCGAAAATTTGGACCCTAGAGGAATTCAGCTGTCTGCCTTGTTCATGAGCGGAGTGGACATGGCGCTGCTGGCCAATGATGCCTGTGGACAGCCTATCCCCTGGGAACACTGCTGCCCTTGGATGTATTTTGATGGAAAATTGTTGCAGTTCAAGTACATTAAAGCTACCAGGGAAAAAGCCTCACTAATCGACCTCTGCGATGGTCAGGTATGTGACCAGAGCACCAGGTAAGTCAGTAGTGTTCATTTTCCATACCTTGACATTTTCTATTTAAAATCTAGAACCCCTTCTTGCTTGAAACCCCTTCAGGTAGTGGCATAGAGAGCCCAAGTACAGAGAATAACAACTAGGTGGATGGATGGTTTAACTGCAGAGTTTAAAACCGTGGATTTACAATAGCCATAGTACCACTCATGAAATTAAATTCTTACAGAAAAGAATGCCTGGGCTGCCATTGCTGACCACCTGCGATACTCTGTTTGGCTCTTTTTTGGCTTCGGTATTTTTCTAAGTCACTGACCCAGAACAAGATCCTGGGCATGTGATTCCACTGGTCATACAGTGATCATAGGGACTGGCTGAGACAGTCGTACAGCCATGTTAATTAGAAATGTTATCTGTCAGCTGTAAGAGTTTTCTGTGCCTTATACATGAGAGGTGGTATTTGACAGATTAGGCAACCTTTGTATGAAGTCTTGGGATGGGCGACTTTATATCTCGGCAGGGTACAGTAGATATACTTGTACTGCAAAGCATGTTGATAGATTTAATTTTAGGGTTTGTTTCTGACATTGCAGACTGCTTGTATGATTAACTGACATCAAGCATTGTGAGCAAAACGTTTAAACCTCTGTGTACTGTTGTGACCTACTGATCCTTTCTAATTCATTGTTATCTTTGTTTGGCTCAGGCAGAACAAGCTGCCAAAGTAGACAAAATGAGACAAAGTATCCTGGAAGGGCTACACTTTACAAGACAAAGCCACCCACTGCCATTCCCGCCTCCACCCGCCATGCCTTTTTACCCTGCTGCTGTGTACCCGCGACCCTTTGGACCAATGCCTCCACCTCCAGGTAGAGGAAGAGGATTCTCTGGTAAGTGTTAACAGCTTTCTGCTTAATTTGTATTGCTGGGACATGGTTCCATTAAATTTATTGTGACATTCTTTTCATCGTGTTTTTAAAATGTAATATGTGACCAGGGGCGGACTGACCATTTGAAAACTCGGGCACTGCCCGAGGGCCCGGGGTCAGTAGGGGCCCCCATGAGATGCCCCTGGTACCTTTTTTTCATAGGCTTTTTTGAGTTTGGGCAAGGACACAGGGGCCCCATGATCCCCTATTGCCCGGGGGCCCCATGAGTTCTCATTCCGCCCCTGTATGTGACTACTGAGAAATGCTTATGTGTAAATCTTTGTCCACCGCCTGCCTTCCCTTCACGTTGAGCACTAAAGGGTAAAGCAGGTGACATTTAAAGAGCCAAATGCCAGGCAAAGCTCCTACACTTTCAGGTTAGAGCTTGTCTTTAAGTCCTGTCCCCCACATTCCTATTCACCATTGTGCTATTATGGGCTGACTCACAGGCCAGTAGGAGGGAGGAAGTGCTTGAACCTTATCATTCAAATCAGCCAGGAATTGAGATTTTAACTTTCTATGAGTGCAGGAAGCTAACCTGATCTCGTTCTCGCTTGCGTGGTCTTGTTCTTGCTCTCCCACTCTTGTTCTTGCTCACGCTCTCGTCCTCGCTCACGCTCTCGTTCTCGCTCGCGCTTTCGTTCTCGCTCACGCTCTCGCTCACGCTCTCGCTTACGCTCACGTTCTCGCTCACGCTCACGTTCTCGCTCACGCTCACGTTTTCGCTCACGCTCTCGTTCTCGCTCACGCTCTCGTTCTCGCTCACACTCTCGTTCTCGCTCTCGCTCTCGCTCACGCTCTCGTTCTCGCTCTCGTTCTCGCTCTCGTTCTCGCTCTCGTTCTGGCTCACGCTCTCGTTCTCGCTCTCGTTTTCTCTCACTCTCTCTTGCAAGAGAGAGATCAGGTCTATTCATTAGCAAGTACTGAGAGCCGGCTGAAAAATCAGTTAATTCGTGTGCTCTCTATTAAGTACTGCATCAGCACAGGTACCTGCAGAACCAATTCTGAAGTGTGTGTGAAAAAAAAAACAAAAAAAACAAACCTTGTCACATGAAAAAAACGGTTACATCTGAGAGCAATGAACCACCAACCAACAGTCCATCTAGTTCAACCATAAAAGGGAAGGAAAATAAAGTTATAGTTCTATACTCACAGTTGATCCAGAGGAAGGCAAAAAACCCAGCAAAGCATGATCCAATTTGCTCCTGCAGGGGAAAAAAGTCCCACTTGATCCCCCAAAAGGCAATCTGATATTCCCTGGATCAACTTTATCTATAATTGTTAGTATCCAGTTACAGTATATTATGTGTATCTAAGAAAGAATCCAGGCTTTTTTTTTAAAAGCAATCCAATGAGCTGGTCAGAGCCAACTCTTGAGGGAGTCTATTCCACATTTTCACAGCTCTCACTGTGAAGAAACCTTTCCGTATTTGGAAATTAAATTTCTTTTCCTTAAGACGTAAAGAGTGCTCCCTTGTCCTCTGTGATGACCTCAGGGTGAATAGCTCTATATTGAGTTCACTATATGAACCACTGATATATTTATACATGTTGATCATATCCCCCCTTAATCTCCTCTTCTCAAGAGAGAATAAATTCAGTTCCTCTAATCTTTCCTCATAGCTGAGCTCCTCCATGCCTCTTATCAGTTTGGTTACCCTTCTCTGTACTTTCTCCAGTTCCCCAATGTTCTTTATGTGAATTGGTGCCCAAAACTGAACTGCATATTCCAGATGAGGTCTTACTAATGATTTGTACAGGGGTAAAGTGATATCTCTCTCTGGAGTCTATACCTCTTTTCATACAAGAGAGGATTTTGCTTGCTTTAGAAACCGCAGCTTGGCATTGCATGCCATTATTAAGCTTGTGATCTACCAGAAATCCCAGATCCTTCTCCACCATTGATTCCCTCAGTTGTACTCCTAGTATGTATAATGCATCAATATTCTTACCCCCCCAAGTGCAAAACCTTACATTTATCAACATTAATCACTTGCCCTCCAGAGGATTTACCCCCCTTCCTGACAAGGCAATTTTTTGCGATACATCACTGTGTTACTTTAACTGACAATTGCGTGGTCATGCAACGCTGCACGCAAATTAAATTTACATTCTTTTTTTTCCCCCCACAAATAGAGCTTTCTTTCGGTAGTATTTGATCGCCTGTGCGTTTATTTTTTGTGCTATTGAAAAAAAAAAAAACGACCGACAATTGTGAAAAAAAAAAATATTTTTTTTTTACTTTTTGCTATTAAATATGATCAGTAAAAAAATTTTAAAAAATCAAATTTAGTCACAAATTTAGGCCAAAATGTATTCTATTCTATAAAAAAAAAAAAAAAGAAATCCCAATACGTTTAAATTAATTCTTTTATGTGAAAGTTATAGCGTTTACAAAAGGCGGTATATACTGGAATTTATTTATTTTTATTAATAATGGTGGCGATCAGCGACTTATAGCGGGACTGCGGCGGGCATTCTGGCACTGAGGGAAACTGACTTGGTGTCATTGACATCCCCAGTGACAAAATAGTGTGTGTGTGTAATTTTGCACACCCCTGCCACCCTGTAGCAGTATTTCTGGTATAGGGCGGTGCGGAAGTGGTTAAACCTGATTTGCCACTCAGTTGCCCAATTAAACAGTGCATTGAGGTCGGCCAGTAAGTTGGCGTCATCTGCAAACACTGAAATGGTATGTTTAATCCCAGACCCTATATCATTTATAAATATATTAAAAAGTAAGGGTCCCAACACTGAGCCTTGGGATACAGCCTAACAACCCTAGACCATTCAGAGTATGAATCATTAACCACTACTCTCTGAATTCGGTCTATAGACTTTACCTTGAACATTAGCCGTGTGTGGGGAATGGTGTCAAACATTTTTTAAAATCCAAGTATACGATATCCACTGCCACCCCTCTGTTCAAGGTTTTGCTCACCTCCTCCTAAAAAGAAATCAGATTCGTTTGTCAACTTCCGTCTTTCATGAATCCATGCTGTCTGTGGCCTAAAATATTTTTTTCCAGCAAGAACTCATCTATGTGGTCGTTTATTAAACTCTCCAGTATCCTCCCAACTATAGAAGTTAAACGAACAGGTCTACAGTTGCTTGGTAAAGACTTTGATCCCTTTTTAAATATAGGCACCACATTGACACTACGCCAGTCCTGTGGTACTATGGTACATTTATTCAGTACTGCTGTGTTCAGCCCCAATGTTAATTTTGATGTCAATTTTCGATTTAGCTTTGGTCATAGTTTTTTGACTGAAATTACATTTTTATTTTAATTGTATTCTAGTCATCTGGATTGTTTTAGTTTTAGTCGTATTTTAGTTGTTTAAAATCTAATGGGTTTCATAAATTGTAATGCATTATTTAAGCTTTTTTTCTAGAATTTCCAAACTCATATACTCCTGGAGTAAAAATGAATCTAATAACATGTTATTATTTATGGTATTCAGGTTTGAACAAAGCACACAGACACTGATTTAGCTATTATTTAACATCTTTATAAGTAAAATGTCTTTCATTCCATTTTCATTCATTGACGAAAATTGAAATTGATTTTCGTCATAGTTTTCGTCAAAAAGCATGACACAAATATTTTTGTTGACTTAAATTAACACTGTTCACCATACAGGTCTATCTGTTTCTGAATTTGTTGTATTTGATTTTTCTAAGGTGTCCAGCCCATGCCTTCTCAGGGAGGGAAGCTTGAAATAGCTGGAACTGTGGTTGGCCAGTGGGCTGGGACTAGACGTGGACGTGGCAGAGGACAGTTTCCACTTCAGGTGGTTTCTGTTGGTGGACCAACTAGAGGGTATGTATAGCAAGTCTTCTCTGCACCCTCACAGTACAAGTGTATATCATTCAGTCTGTAATAGTACTCAGCCATGTTAACTGTACTGTAGAGTACAGTTACTTAGTAAGGGAATTGACAAAGTGCAGACACACCCACTCCAGCCTTCACCTAACCTTCCCTTTCACTGGTCTTAATCTAGTAAACTGAAGTCTGTGTGTTAATATGCTTCACACATCTTCATGTTCACTTGTGGCTGTATGCATTCCCTATAACATTCTGACACCTGCTGGGCTTGTTCATACTATATTACTAAATGGGTGCATTTAGTGAGCTTGCCTTTTTTGACCACTTCAGCTTCACAAGATTTTACTCCCTTCATGACCAGGGGAATTTGTTTGCTATTCGGCACTGTGCTATTTTAACTGGTAATTGCACGGTCATGCAGCACAGTGGCTACATGTTTAGCACTTCCACCTGGCAGTACTAGGGTCGTTGGTTCGAATCCCAACCACGGCACCACCTGTCTGGAGTTTGCTTATTCTCCCTGTGCCTGCGTTTGGTTCCCCCGGTAGTCCGGTTTTCTCCGACACCCCAAAGACATGCTGGTAGGTTAATTGGATCATGTTTAAATTGGCCCTAGTATGTGTATGTATGAATGTGAGTTAGGGACCTTAGATTGTAGGCCCCTTGAGGGTTAGGGACTGATGTGAATGAACAATATGTATATATAAAGAGCTGTGCAAAAATTGAAGGCATTATATAATACCTGTAATAAATAAATAACACTGTACCCACATTTATATTCCAATATTGTTATTAGAGAAAAAGAGTCAGAGACAACAGACATGGCAGTTGAACATAGAACATAACACCAGTAGTAAAGAAATAAGAAGACCTAGCAATGTCTCGAGGGCATAGCAGGAACAATTGTCTGATCAACCAAATTAAACATACAAGTTATCCCAGACAGGGAAGCACATATAAATCAAAGAAGTTAGTCTTCATTAGAAACCGCAAACGTAAACCTGGTCTCCACAGGACCAGGGACAAGGTAAACCGTAACGATCCCTCCCCAATATCCAGATATCCAAAAATGTTCAGAGTCAGAGCTACTAGAGCCCTAAAACCAATGTAAAATAATCAGGGAAAAACCCAGCAAAAAAGGGAAAAAGAGAGAAGGAAAATCCGAGAAAAAGAAAGGTAGAGAGAGGGTCAATCTGGGGCTCATCAAGGAACTGAGATATATTGAATCCAAGGATCCCAAGTGTGGTCAAATCTTTGTGTAGTATTGTTAAGGACACAGGTGAGCCTGTCATTACCCATGATCCAGTTAAGTTTATTCTTGATGTACTCAAGAGGGATCATCGACTGTTTCCAATACTTGGCAATAGTAATTCTTGCTGCCAGAAGTATATGTGTAATTAGTTTTGTTCATCTCTTAGGGACAGCATCAGGAAAAAGGGCAGTTTCGGGAGTCCTGCAGATATTTATTCCCGTCACAGAGTAGATCAGATTAAATATCCAAATCCAGAACCTGTGCAGCTCAGCCCTGCCCCCCCTCCTCACAGGATTTGATTGACTGCAATGGAAGCCAATGGCTCCTGCTGCCATCAAAAACTCCTGTGATTACAGGAAGGGGGGAACAGAACTGCTGCAGATGGGACAGCGCTGGATCGTTAGAGGTCCTGGGTAAATGTTTAATGTGGGTTTGGAGGGCTGGTGGGAGCTGCATTTGAATAGTTTTTTTTTTTACCTCAGTATGGAGAATGCATTAAGGTAAAAGGCCTTTAGAACAATTTTAATACTTAGTAATAAAGCAAAATTGGAACCAAAGTGTACAGTAAAGGAAACAGACAACTTGTACCTGCTTGTAGGAAAAGCTTCTCCGTTTTAAAATAGTGATTTTGTTTTAAACATATACATATTACCAAATTGTAACAAGTTTTTTGCTCCCTACAGACGCCCCAGAGGAGTTATATCAACCCCCGTTATACGAACATTTGGAAGAGGCGGTAGATATTATGGAAGAGGGGCATACAAAAACCAAGGGGCATCTCAGGTATACTATTTAGGGTCTGACAATTTAATGTGTATATTGTTTCCGGTATTCAGTACAAAGTATTTCAGCATAATATCTAGTTGTAAAGAGCTGCTTTCTACTTTGCACTGCTGTTTAAAAGAGAAGTATATATCATATTTGAATTGCCTTCTGTCCAAGCACTTGGTCATATGAAAATTATGGGGGGGCAATTGTAAAACACAGGCTGCAAACTGAGAAATGTCTGTTCTGTACAGAAATGCACGATTTTCCCAGTTATGCATCTTGTCAAATAGCAGTTCAGGAACTGTGCGCCCTACTGTAAATAATACGCAACACGGGGAAAAAGCCTCCTTTTCTGGAAGGATGTGCAGTGTGTTCGATATGGTCAAACTATCAGCCACTATGTACCATGTAAATGCCCCATTGTGACCTTTTATCAAATTTGCCCTTTGCAGCTGTAGTACTGTGTCTCTACATTGCTACTCCTTTTTCTGCACCGTAAGGGGTCAGTTGGTCCAGTAGAGCAACCTTTCTGCTTAGCCCTGTTTTGGGATTGGTCAGCTTTATCTTCCTTTCTTTCACGTGTTGACTACATCTCACACAGTAAATATGAACTAATGCAGGGTTAACCGTAAACATCTGAAAAGGGTCATTGGGAATCACAGGTAAATGCACATGTTTTTCAAGTTCAGATTGCCATCATCTTTTTCATGTTATCACTGAGCACGTGTCTTGGCAAGCTAAGGAAACTAGTCATGCTTACCATGTCTTAACTGCAGCTGTCATTTTTCCCAACAGTATTATCCCCCATGGCAGCCCAAGGGAATTTTGTACCTGTGTACTGAATGCCCTCAGGTATATATATATTCTATAATTGCTTGAATGCTTTAACCAGATGTTTGCACCAAGCTTGAAATCAGTTTAGAGCACGGGTGTCAAACTGGCGACCCTCCAGCTGTTGCCAAACTACAAGTCCCATGAGGCATTGCAAGATTGACAGTTACAAGCATGACTCCCAAAGGCAGGGGCATGATGGGACTTGTAGTTTCGCAACAACTGGAGGGCCACCAGTTTGACACCCCTGGTTTAGAGGTATACTCTGCAGTAGGAGCCTTAGGTTTGGTGAGATGCCTACAGAGAATCCTATAAAGCTAGCTTGGGGCTGTCCCATTCCAGTGCAATACTGAAATTTACATATAACAAAGACAAACCCTCTTGCTAAACAATCAGGTTGACAACATTTTGAGAAATGCTTTCACAAGCTTCTCCAAAACCAGATCAAGTAAGATTCTGAAATAAAATTGTTAAAAATCTTTGCAATGCGTATAATTTTTGTGGAGCTTTATTTTTAAACAAAGGAGTCTTGTTACCAATGGCAGTTGCTCCATTCACTTTGCTGTCAAGGAAGCGCACAGGCAGTAGCATCTGAACATTTTGTTCTAAAGAATAATATAAGCCTTTTTTTTTTTTTTTCCTTTCCATGTTGCTCCACAGACCAAGCCGGCATATGCTACTTCTGCGGCAGAAGTGGCCAAAGAGCTTAAGACACAATCCGAAGACTCCAAATCATCCGCCGTGTCTTCAGATGGTTCTCTGACCGAGAACGGAGTGGTGAACGAGGACACCCAAGCTTCCCAGATCAATGGGGGCTCGGCAGACACCCAGCCTCCCAATCACTCTGAAAGTGCCTTAAGCAGTGACTCTAAAGCGTGCAATACGAATCCTCATTTAAATGCACTAGATCCAGACAGCGGGCACCGCGAGGAGGAAACCCTTGAGGCCCCTGTCTTGAAAAAAGAAGAGTAAACTTATTTTTCTAGAGGGTGAAGGATGTTAGAAAGTTCAGGGTTAGGAATATCTGGAAAGAAGGAGAGCCTACAGTTACGTACATTTTTTCCTTTCCGTAAGTGAAAAATGAGGATTTGGAAATTCGGATCCCTCTTTTGACGTCAGATGAAAAAAAAAAAAGTTTCAGAGATTTTATTTTCTTTTTAACCAGTTGTAGTCAAAATGCTACAAGGAAAAAACAAAAGTTGAGCATATTTGAAGAGCATTTGACTCCCATAAGTTAACGAAACATGCGTAAAGTTTAAAACTGGTTACAACAACAAGGCGTAAACAAAAAACCGCTCGTGATGTATCTTTTAGATACAAGCAAACACAATTTATGGCAGTTCTTTTTTCAGTATATATATATAGCTTAAGTATAATTTTGTAGTATTTGGCACCATATGTATGCCATTATATTTGATTTTACAATACTGTGTCACGTTAAAAGAAAATCAGAAACTTTGGTTTTCCGGATTATGATAATATGGCACAAACAGTTTTTTTTCTCTCTTTCATTCTTTATTATTTCATCGCTGTTGATGTGGTTTTTCTTTTTTTTTTTTTTTTCTTTTTTTTTCGTACTACGATGTGCAACTTTATTGGAACACAAACAATTATAGCGTTAACATTTACAGATTTTTGCTAATCTTTTAAATACTCATTACTCATACTATTCAAGCAAAGTAAGAAATCATAGAGGAGGGAAGAAAAAAAAAGGGCAACAACCTTTTTTTCCCCCTGAAAAAAACAGGCGTTCACAAAATAATAATAAAAAAAAAGTTTCAGTGAATACTGTTCTACCATGCATCCGTGATCAATGAAAATTGTGTGGTTTTTTGAATCAAACGTAGACCATTAGTGCTACTATTGACCTTGCATGGTTCATCCTTTTTAAGGTGTGTAGTCAATATTATGCATGTTCTCGTCCTCTTTCTGCCATTCTTACAAAGTTCTGTGCCCATCTGCAAAACAAGAAAACAAAAAAAACTAATAATCAGTAATAGTTCGATGAGATGTTACTTATGTTTAGTCATTGACTGATCTCGCTCTAACCTTTTAAAGAAAATTTTGTGATTATTGACCTCTGTTGCATTTATCCTAAAACAAAAAAAAAAAATTAACTAGCCGTTTAAATATCAACGTTTTTTTCTCTGGTGTATCCATTGCTGTATTGCATTATTGTTCTCTGTTGCTGTTTTCACATTAGCAAATATGGATTCTGTGATTAAAAAAAATAATCTTAAAAGTGCTTTGATCTTTAAACCTTTCCCCTTTCACCCCCTCCCCCCACTACTGTAGCAGGACAGGATTTGCCCGTTCCTGAGCTCTTCAGCCTTTTCCTACGCCGAGTACACCTGTATCATTTTGATGTTTCTGTTAGTGTTTCCAAAACCTTTTAAATGTTCTTTATGAAAAAAAAATCCAAATCATTTCTTTCTCTTCGTTTTCATATAATTCTCCTGATGCTCTTCATCACTCATTAGTGATCAGAAATGAGGTGTAACTCCCCCCATTCTTTTGCCCGCAAGAGCTGAGTAGGTATTTTTAATGTAAGTTGAAAGGAGTTTTGCCCCAACTCATGGACTGTGCAAGAATGAACTACTGTTGGCTTTGTTTGGAAGTCGGTGGATTGTGGTGCGTTATGTCTGAAGGCTATTGAATGCAACTTACAATGCTTAATAAAAATCTTTATTCTTTTAGTATAAACTGGTGTTGTGGTCTTTTTATTGCAAACATGCTTAGGCAGTACATACATTAATCATTTTTGTTCGTTCAAGCAGCGGGTTGTGCTAAAAAAAAAAAAAAAAAAAAAAAAATATCCCCATTCACTCACTGGAAGTCTTGTCTGTCGTTGGTCTTAAGTCAAATCCCTAGTGTTCTCCACCCTTATAGTATATTTCCTTTCTTTTATTATTAATCCAGGAAGAGGAATGGGGCAATGTACTAAGATTGGAGATACTTCAGAGATAATAATAATACAGTATTTATATAGCGCCAGAAAGGTTTGCTCAGCGCTGTACAATATAGTACGGGACAGTACATGAGACAATACAGTCATAAAACAATACACGAGGGGTTCAAGGGCCCTGCTCTTTCGAGCTTACAATCTAGGAGGGAGGGGGTAGAGGTACAGGAGGAAGTGGCTGTGGGGGATGGAGTGGTAGGAGGAGTGGAGGAGATCGGCTGTTAGGTGAGGGTGGGGTAGGCTTCCCTAAAGAGATGGGTTTTCAGGGTGCGCCTAAAGGTGAGGAGGGTAGGTGACAGTCTAATGGATTAGGGTCGTGAGTTCCAGAGGATGAGGGAAGTTCTGGAGAAGTCCTGCAGTCAGGCGTGGAAGGTGGAGACCAGGGAGCTAGAAAGTAGGAGGTCTTGTGAGGAGTGAAGATGGTAGAGATGATTCCATTCTTGGTTTTGGAAAACTACTGTGCATGTGCAGCCATTATGGATCAGAAAGCCCTACAAAGGATAAAAATCCACTGTGGGATCCTTTCTATGACTGCTTCAATGGTAAAGTATGTGAAAAAGGTATAGTATACCGTATTGATGATTGGGAGGAGGGAAAGGGGGGGTATGTACTGTAGTTTGCTGGACAGTGCAGTTTTACTTTGAGCTAGAAGAAGCATAAGCTACTACCAATCACTTCTCAGCATTAGTGACTGAGAAAGTAATGAAGCCAAGATACCAACATGACACACAGGGAACAAACATTCTCAGGAGTTATAAGTCGTAGCCCACAGGCTTTCTTTGAGGGAAAGCTTTGCTACTTGGGGAGTCACAGACCTGGAGTAAGTGTGCGCATATCAGATGTCCCTAAACAATCATGCATGAGCTTGTTCCAGGTCAGTGACTCACCCAATAGTAAAGTCTTGCTGCCCTGCAATGTTTACAATGGAAGACAAGTCGATGTCATGTCCATGTTTACTATTCTATTACTTTTGTTGGCATTGGATTAAATTCATTGGAATTTTATTGATGATTATGATTTCTGCACTTTCAGGCTGGTCACATGGAGGGAGGCATGCCGGGGTAGAGATCCTTCATTACTTAGGACAAGTGTACCAATGTGCAGGAGTTAAGAGATAATGAGTTGAGTTCAAATGAATGTGAAAATGTCGTCCCAATGAGACCTTTTTACGTTACTGAAACTTCCTTTCTTAGGGGATTGAGTACATCCACAAATTTAATTTAAACCACACCACCTTTCATTTCTATACTGGCAAGTTACTTTTCAGTACGCACGCATTTTGTAAATTCTTTATTAAGACTAAACTAAGAACACATCAGAAATACATAAAAGTTGCACACAATGGAGTTCATTTGCTAAAATTGGAGAGTGCATAATCTGGTGCAGATGTACATCGTAGCCAATCCACATCTAACTTGTTCAATTAAGCTTTGGCAATAAAACCTGGAAGCTGATTGGTTTCTATGCGGAGCTGCACAAGATTTAGCAAACTTCAGTTTTAATAAACCCCAGTGATGTAAAGTGAGAGATGATCATTCCTCAAAGTAAATCGCTTTCTCCTGAGTGTGGCATCTTTATGTTTTTGAGGAGATCTTAATGGGTGTTATGAGATGTACTAGTGGAAAATCTTGCTATTGATGGCAAAATTAAAATAAAATCTTTTCAAGTTGTATTTTTATGTTTTACTTTCAATATATTGCCATTTTGTTGAAAAAAAAAAAAGGCATGCAACCTTGTATATCTTTGGTCAAGCCTCAAAAATATATAAACAAGAAAGGAAAAGGAGATGCATCTTGCAGGTTGTCCATAACTAACAGGGTACAATAAAAGTGAGAAGCCTAAGCCATTATCTGCAACACCGATTTCAGGTAACGCAGCTCAGCAAAGGATTTGCACTCAATGTTAGTACCTCCAACCAAAAGCACTCAAAAGTGCCAACAGCAACCCTGAGAGCCAGGAATACGTAAAGAAGAAAAGAAGAGAAAAGTAAGGTGTTGAAAAAAGGAATCCAAAGCAGACTAAGCACCTCAGAGACACCCATCTCCCATACCTCAAAATATACATTGTTTCAAGTGAAATGTGTATATATCTAGCCCACGGTTCCCAGATCTTTAACCACTTGCCTACAGGGCACTTATACCCCCTTCCTTACCAGACCCAATTTTCAGCTTTCAGCGCTGTCGCACTTTGAATGACAATTGCGTGGACATGCAACACTGCACCCATATGAAATTTTTTTCACACAAATAGAGCTTTCTTTTGGTGGTATTTACTCACCACTGGATATTTTTTTTTTTTGCTCTATAAACAAAAAAAAAGTTTTTCCTTGTTTCAATTATAACATTTTTGCAAACAAATATTTCTCCTTCACTGATGTGCGTTGATTAGGCTGCACTGTTGAGCTGTTGACTGTTGACTGATGATGGGCACTGACTGGGGGCACTGCTGGGCACTTGTGGGTGGCATTGTGGGGCACCGATCATCAAGGCACCATGCAGGAGAGCACGTTCTGGAAGGACGTCATATGACATCCACCCAGAACTGGCTGGTCGCAGTGCAGCTGTCATTCGGTTATCTGCGGTTGGCAAGAGGTTAAAAAACCTTTTAACAGTATCCTCGAAGACAATAGGATGAACAAAATCAGATGACTTAGCAGGTTGGCACTCTATTGCCTACACCTGATTCTGGAAAACCATGGAAACTTCCAGAAGACAGTGGATGGAAAGGGTAGAGACCTAAATCTGCATGTTTTGTGGTAGTCTAACCAATCCCAGGTTTGGAAGCCCTGATAGAGGGTGGGGCCAACCCATAAATATGGGAGAGTTGGGTGGAAGATGGAGTGCTGAGATTGGACCCCTAGGTCTAAGGGGGGCTGGGCTCGAGCCAGTTCAGAAAGATCTATTCAGCATCACGGTATGACTAGGATCAAGGCCTAGGAGCAGTGGGCGCAAAGAGAACAGAGTACATATCACACCCTGGGATTCACAAGGGGAAAGAATGCCAAATGTAG